TTTTTAATGGCGTCCTTTGGGGTTTGATGGCTTTCTTTTTGATGGCTTTCTTTTTTGGGAAGATGTTCTAATGGGAACCATGGAGCACCAGAAGAAATCAACGAGTTGGAAAGCCAGGCTGATACATGAGGCTTCTCGCATCGTATCATGCTTGAATGTTCTTAGCCCTATGTGGCATATTGAGCTTAAACCTATCAGGCTTTGCCACTTGGAACGGACATGTGCCTGCGCCGGGCTTCCAATTGACCCCCTGGCCGGCCAACTTGGGGCCCAAGCGGAAGAAGAGTGTCATGAGTCGAGTTGTTCATTGCTGGCAATGCGGAAGTGGCAGCCAAATGCAATTTAAAAAGGTTCGAGCTTCTGACGGCTGAGCGATTGCCGCTTGCGCAAACAACACACGAGGCAACACTTGGCATGTCAATGCGGGGGTTTCTTCCGGCAAAGAAGTTGGAATTCCCAAGTAGTCCCTCACTGACAATTGTGAGCGATGGGCAGACTGTTGATTTCTTCTTATGGTCTGCCAGATGTGTTTAGGTGCGGCTTGCCAATCTCGACAAACACAACACACACACACACACAGCGCACCCGCACACACCCGCACGCGCACACGCACGCACGCGCACGCGCACGCAAGCACGCCCGCACCCGCACCCGCACCCGCACCCGCACCCGCACCCGCACCCGCACCCGCACCCGCACCCGCACCCGCACCCGCACCCGCACCCGCACACGCACACGCACACGCACACGCACACGCACACGCACACGCACACGCACACGCACACGCACACGCACACGCACACCCACACACACACACACACACACACACACACACACACACACACACACACACACACACACACACACACACACACACGCACACGCACACACGCACACACGCACACGCACGCACACACGCACGCACACACGCACACACACACACACACACACACGCACGCACACACGCACTACCCGCACACACACCCCACACCCACACCCCACACCCACACCCACACCACACCCCACACCCACACACCCACACCCACACCCACACCCACACCCACACCCACACCCACACCCACACCCACACGCACACGCACACGCACACGCACACGCACACACGCACGCACCCACGCACCCACGCACCCACGCACCCACACGCGCACGCGCACGCGCACGCCCACGCCCACGCCCACGCCCACGCCCACGCCCACGCCCACGCGCACGCGCACGCGCACCCGCACCCGCACCCGCACCCGCACGCACACGTTCACGCACACGCACACGCACACGCACACGCACACGCACACGCACGCACCCACACACACACACACACATACACATGGAGGAGTCTCATACGATGTTGGTTTGCATGTTTCGTTTGAAAGCACTACTGCTGGCAACATGTGCGAAGCCCGCGAATCTTCCAGTGCAGTCTTTTGCAACGCTCCAGGATAATTACAGCCGCGATCTGCACGAAACATATCTTCTGGACAGCCCTTTGCTCGAGGCAGGTCTATCACGGTGGAAGAGATGCAACTGCATTTCACAACAGAGACAGATAGAGAGAGAGAGAGGGAGTGACAGAGAAATCAGGTAGACAGAGACAGAGAGATAGGCAGGCAGAGACGGCGAGACAGCGAGAGAGGGAGATGGGGAGCGGGAGAAGGCGAGGAAGGGGGCAGGCAGGCAGGCAGGCAGGCTGGAAGGATGGGGAGGGTGTGGGGAGGTCCTGTGACTTGCGCTCAGTGGTGTTGATTGGGCTGCCTCAATTCAGACTAACTCCTTTGCGTTCTCTTTATTGTGTACTGTCCACTCATCTTTGATCTTCAAGCCCCTTTTCCAACGCTTCCTGCAGGACGAGTTTCACAGGTTTCCCCCTGGACAAGGGCACAGATGGTATCCTTTGGCATTGCAGGCGGACGAGGTGAAGCAGAATTGGTTCTCATGCAAAGTCTGCGAGCCGCTGAAGCAGCGCAACCTGCTGGGACCCAAGAAGAGAAGCACTTGAGCCACAATCAAGACCCGGGCAGATGAAGGTTAGTAAGGGACAATCCCCTTGCCATAAATAGCTGCGGCCGCCTTCTTATGTCTTTACATGGTTGTGGGTAGACCATTTTAATTGCCACGAGCCGAAAGAGTGGAAGGAAGAGCAGAGTCTTATGCCGGATGTTGCAGTTAAGAGCGGTGAGTGCGGGCGTTCAGCGTAAATCACTTGTTGCACATGAAGACTTGTGGCTGAAGTTGATGCTAGACCTGTTCTGGATTTGTTCCCCGTTTGTGGTGCTTGCCCGCTTAGAAGGAGTGTTATCAACAAGATCACTTCTGATACTCTAGGGACATGACCAGGTTTGGGCACTGAACAATCCCAACGATGAAAAGCAGGACATGGCTAGGTGAATAAAGCTGGCAATGATGTTGCCTACCACGAGGCGTGTGTGGGGTGCTTGACACTGGTTGAAATTCACAGAAGGTCGCTGAACAGGGGCAGCCACAGTATCGTTGCGTATGGAACCAGCAGAACCCATGCCATCAACTTTGAGCGAGCCCAGAAAAGGGTTGGTTTGTTATGCAGTTGATGCCATCAACGCACAATTTCAAGAAAGTTGGGTGGTAGACAGCTTCTGCAGCCAGAGGGCTCAGTGGCTTGAGCGAATCCAACCCAAAAAAAAGTTCTGGCACATCACCTCTGACAGTGCCAAATGAACGACCAAAACTGCGGCCAATTCAACAGTTGGCCGTAACTGCCAGCAAGTAGGAAAGAGCGAGAGAGAGAGAGAGAGATATATATATATATATATATATGGCCATGGGTCAAAATCCCATACCCCCAGTGAACATCCCAATCCCCACTAAAATAGACTAAAATGGGTGGTGCCCCTACCCCAAAATGGTACCATTGGTTTTGACCCACAACCATATATGGTATGACACGGGATGCAACAACACCCCCCCCGCTTAATGTGCGTTTCCGATGTCCTTGTTGTTCAATGCAGTGCACTCGTCTTCTTAGGCTGCCTTGCATACACAAAGGCAGAAGCAAGACGGCGGCTTTCATCAACATGTTGCCTTGCCCAAAAAGACACATCACCCTGGATAGAGGCGTACAAGCATTGGGGTCAGCTTTTGCAAAGCCCAATGACGGAAGGTGTCCTGGGCAATTTCTTTGTTCCCCAAGTCTTCTCTAGAAGCTGGAAATTATATATTTGGTTGCCTTAGTGCATTTACAGACTCCCTGGTCGGTTGATGCTGTAACTTCAAAGAGAAGACTCTGCACTACTTACACAAGTTCTTCTTAGCATTGCCAATCCTGTGCACCAAGGTCGAAGTCAAACTACCCGAGCCATTAATTAGACGTCAACCTCAGTGGTCCTCGGGTCGGACACGCCAACAGCAAGTGGTTTGTTGCACTGCGCCGACAAAAACCCGTCCGGACGAGTTATCCCAGCGCAGAGTTTCAGGCTGCATGTCTAACGGCCGGACAACCGATCACAAAATTGAATCTGAAATGAAGATTTATGTTAGGGCGCACTTGAGTTTACAGGTGATACGCACTTGAGGACCTTTGAGCAAACGTTTCACTTTCAAGTCCCACGTCGAGCTCAGCTCGACGTGGCTGCCAGCACATGTACGTCAGATTGGAAGAGTTGTGCTCGGGGGTGCACACAGCAGTCTTACACCTTGGCGTTAACTCAAAAAGGGGCAGAGAGATTGGGTTTGCTTGGAGCGGCACCTGTGACCTGCTGCTTTGTCAGCTCTTCGTTCTGCGCGCAGCTCGCTGAGCGGCTGTGTGAACACAGTGTCGTACTCTTGCTGTAAAGTTGGGCGCATGTTTTGGCCAGTAGAGAGTCGCAATCACAGCCGACAATCTGGTGACATGAGGCTCAGGCGACGCAAAACGATGGAGAGGGCAGGTGTTCCTGGAACGGCAACATCTAGTGCCCCCTGTTGGGTTGTTGTTTACAGAATGCACTTCTCGAGGCTTCAGCGTAGATGCAATGCTTCGGCGACCATGCTTGGCGTCCATGGCTTGTTGGGTCACTTGTTTGGATTTCTTCCCAAAAGGCCCGGCAGCTGGCAACATTGAGGCTAGGGAAGGACAACAGCAGGGCACGGGAGCACAGAAAACTTCTTTGAAAAGTAAATGTGCGGTGACTCAAGTAAAACTGGGGTTACCCAGGTGTTGGTTTTTGTTTCAGTTCACTTTTGGGTGCCATTTTCGGTGCCATGTTTTGAGCCACAGGAGTCGTTCACGGGAGTTCCTGCCTTTCCGTGAACATCCCAGTAGCTGCACCTTCAGTGCAACCTTGGCAGAAGAAAGCCATTTATCATGTGCTGTAGGTCAAGTTTTATTTCAATGCCCACGGCTCAAATCCAGCTCGACCGCTTGAGGCAATGGAACCACATGCGAATAGAGCAAAGTCACGCAGCTTGCTGCAGCTTCGCAGGCAGCCTCATGAAAATGATCTTGACTGGGCTATGATGATGTCACTTCCATTACTTCCATTTGGTTAAGAGTATTTGTTGTCTTTTCCCTGTTAGTTTAAAATGGAATCCATCACTGCTGAGCATATTTTTCCATCGGCTTAAGCAAGTGAAAAAGTCACATTCCTGATTCCAACTTGTCTTTGTTGCCTGCTAATATGGAGTTGCAGTTGTTCATTGATGCACGCCAAGCAATCCAGATGTAATTTCGAGGTGATTCAGTGAATGTTGCAGCAGTGTGCCAAAATCTAGACGGACCATGCCAACCTCGGCCTTGAAGTTTGCATGTGGTTACGCATATCATTTGCTCACCATCCCTACCCGGAAGCCAACCGTTTGGTTGGTGGCCTCGTTCAATTGAACGACTAGTTGTCTGATGGGCACTCGCATAGCATGGGCGGCCACTCAACCCACCGCCCAAAGACTTTATTCAAGGCACATGTTCTTGGGTGGGTTATAATTTGTCCAAATTAAAACCAGAAAAACATTGGGTGCTTATCTGCAAAATAATCTGTAGCCCTCTTTACTTTTGCCACACCAGTGTGGCTGCAAGCCATGCAAGCCATGCATCCCATGGATGCTTCCAAAGTGGCAGCGATTGCCCGGCACCCAAGGCGGCTGGTTGGTTAATTGACCTATATCATGGGAGTGTCTTTTTTTTTCTTCTTTTTTTCTTTTTCGCGGACCCTTGGTTTCCCGTTAGGCTCCCTTTGGTTTCTCCGTTTGGTTCCTCCCCTTGGCTTAATCCTTTGGATTCCCAATGATTTTAAGTTTCCTTTGGCTGGCCTCCCGTTAAGTCCACAACAAGCGGTACCCTCAAAGAGGACACCCGTACCTTATGTCTCAGCTGTAGTAGACGGATTGTCAGCATAGTAATTGTGAGCTTGCTGCTTACTTGGCTTGCTCTTCCAAGTGGGAAAATTGAAAAGAGCATCAAGTCAACAAGCCTGTTCTTGACAGTGTTGATCAAGCAGATTATCAGATGCCAAAGTCTTCGTGGGGCTTAGGTATGCAAACAACAATCCTTTGCTGTATGGTTCGTTCTCCACAATGTGTTGAAATGCTTTGCTTGTTTGTCACACTGATACTAAGTGTGCGCAACCGCAATAGAAGAACATGCACACTAAAACCTACTTTTCCTCATGAATGGAGCTTGAAGTCTAGTGTACTCGCAGAGGTGTTTCTCTTGCTTTTGCAATGTGTTTTTTATTGCAGCGGTGATTCTGTCAAAGGTCTCAGCAGATTTGTTTACCCCAGGCAAAAAAAAACCTGCTCAGACCCCTCCCCCGGGCCCCCCCCCACCTTCCGGCCGCCTCCCTAGGCTGAAATTGCTGAAGGAATTCAAGATGAAATGCTCGCAGCCATGCGGAGCGCCCAGGTATGGGCTCTAAACGGAGCGGGAGCTTCGCCGCTTGGAAGGCGGTTCCCCTAAATTCTGGCAGCTGGCGCAAAAGGAAGACACCATGTGAACTTTGATCCCTCCGATGGTCCAGGGACGAGGCTGATGTCACCCCCATTTTACTCATTTTTTTTTGTTGTGCGGGGGTGTGCGGAAGAGAAAAAAACTGAAGGCAGGCTTGGTAGTGGGAAGGTGTTAGTCGTGGGTCAAACAACCAGTAGTTGTGGTTTGGATTTGGATTTGAACCCCTGGTTCTTGTAGAGGCTTAATGGAAGAAGCCGCCCCATCCAGCCTATCAATCAATCAATTCTACGTAGCACGATGGCTCAGGTCGAGCCATATGCGGAATGCCGCTGCAGCTTGCGCTGAGGTCTGCGCCGGCCGCTCAAAAAAAATTCCTTGGCGACGGCGTTCTGCGCTTGGGGATCCGGTTTTCTGCACAGTGCCCAAACCTCGCACCAAGCCATCTTGGAATTCCTCTAGGCAAACATCAGCCCCTAGCTCTAATTTGGCAGGCGTGGTGTCAATCATTGTCCAAACAAGACGAACCCAAGATCTTAAGCGAGAACTCGGCCGACTTCAATCTTGCGCTCCGAAGCGATCCCTGAGGCTGCGAGACTCAACATGCTGCAAAACGCCCTGTCGCGCAACCTGGATGAGGTCATGCTGCACGTACCATGTGCATGTTTTGAATCCTGGCCCTTTCAGCTGTGCTGGGTGCTCGACAGCATCATTCACTTGTGGTGGTAAGGTGTATCGATATACATATATATATATGTATATATATATATATGATATATTATATACATGATATACAATATAGCACATTATGTATACTATGTTTTTCTTAAATCAGTATCAGTATCCTTATCATTATTTGTATCAGTGATAATAATAGTAATTATCCTGAGAATGATAATAACTAGCATCGTCATCATCATCATCACCACTATTATCACCATCATTACCATCATCATCACCACCATCATCGGTGTATTGTTGTTGTTTACAGGCATTCCCCGAAAAACAATCCCCCCAGCCATCCAGAACGGTTTGACTCCCCCCCACGCACCCTGTGTGGTCAGGGGATTGGTTTAATGCCCCTCTCCCTTGAATTGGTTGGTTAAGGGCTGTTCATGGGTTAGTTTAGCTTAGAGTGGGTTTAGGCTGGGGATCGGTTTAGTTTGAGGGTGTAGAGTTGTTTTAAGGTTGATTTGGGGCTGGAGTGACAGTCTGGCTGGTGCATTCGTGGGTTGCTTTGGTCCGGGGTTAGTTCAGGGATGATTTGGGATGTGAAGGTTGGGCTCCTGACTTGGGAGGTGCCGGGTGTGTGTGCAGGTTGAGTCGTTGATACCATAGGCCAACCCAGAACCCAGGAATCGACTCAGCGGCTTCTCCATAAGAGCCAGAGCCCTTAGAATCATTGACCCCCAACCCCAACAAAACGGAAGTAGATGCTCAAAATCGGAACTTGGTTCAAGGCTCTTTCGATTGGACAAGTAGCTAGGGACTGACATTGATATCGTCACGATAACTTGGGCAGTGAGAGTTCAAGTTAGTTTTGATGTGTTCAAAGGGGCCTGTAGGGCTCAAACCTGTACTTGGGCTTGCCGCAAAATCAGGGCTACCCCCAAAATGACCTTTTGGTTTCCTTTTAACCCTCCCCCCCCAACATCGTCAAAAAAGAGCCGCTCACGTGTAGTCTTCCCTTTGGTATCCAAAACGAGGTCCATGGCAATCGGCAAAAACAGAATCCGTGACGCTCGATTTTCAGTAGCTGAAACTGTGATCCTGGATCACAGCTAACCCGAAGCGAGCTGAGCTCTTCCCTGAACATGTTTGTTGAAAGGGCCTTTTTGTCGCTTTGGAAACCATAAGAAACCACCCGAAAGGTACCACCTCAAAGAAAGACGAGCCGCGCCATAAACTTTCCGGCAACTCTTGGCCCTTGGCTGAACATGGAGGCGCGGCGGCATGCCATCAGCGCAAGCCCGCGGCATCCTCAGCGAAGGAGCCACCAATTGGGGCTAAGCGTTTGGTGGCCGTTTCAGGATGGGAATCTGAGAGACTGACCAAGCATCCTGGATGCTTGGTTAGCCTCACATGATTGAGCAGAGTGTTGACCTCGGCGTGGGCGATTTTCAGCCCAAGCATGTGGAGTGTGCCGTTGGCGTTTGGAAAGTGGTTATCATCTCAAGTGGTGGTTTGGATCGGCGGGTGGCAGGTTCATGGCGGTCACCAGCCTATCGCCCCCTACGAACGAGTGCCAAGATGTTAGCCACTTCCAAGTTTGAAGCGAGGTCCACATGTCAGGCTGAAGGATGGTAGAAGTCGTGCACCGCTCCACGGCCTCTTAGGATATTAGGAACCCCGAAACAACCACCAAGAAGGATGCACGTTCCATGGGAAGTGGTGGACAATGCTGCAGATGCATGCTGGGAACGTGCCGAGGCTCACTAGCAATCTTGCCACAGCACAACAGGCGCTGCATTTTGAAGCAGATGTGCAGGATGACTGGGACAATAGAAGGAGCAAGCCGTGGCATGCCGCTTGCTTGGATGTTGATGTCCTTGCCTTTTGGCATGTAAAGAAATTCTTCCTCAGTGTATCAAACATAGCATGACCAGCGCCAACGTGTTTGCTATGCATTTCCAAATATTTGCAAATCCCGGCAGCCGGCAGGTGCTGACTGCCGCAGCTGATACAAAACGTGCCACTCGGCTGAGTCTTCAGCACGCCAGCGTCTGACGTGCAGCAGGCGATGTTTGGACGCCTTTTGAGTGGGATTGCAGGAGTACAAGCGAAAAGGTAAAGTGACAGGCTGGACATTTTTTTTGACTGGCAGCGTTGGCAACATCCAAGGAACGACAGAATTCGGAATGATTTGCCGGCATGGGAGATGGGAACACCTAGGCTGTTTTTGTTTAAGGTTTCGGACCCCCCCCCCCAAAAAAAATATATAATAAAAGTAAAAGAAGTAAATCATGGCCGTTGTCGTGTTGGTTTTTCTTTGAACACCACCAAACCAGGGGCACCTCATCTTGTAGACCGCCCGCGAGTGGGCCTGCATGAGGCAGCTTTGGCAAGGCAGATCCGGACCAAGCTCGAGGCCCAGGCGGGGCGGACGGCTCTCAGCCGGCTTAGGTGCCTGCGATTTTGGGGGGCGTTGATCAACTGGACGCATTGGAGCCGACCCCGATTTGAATGACCCCGATTTAGATGACTTCATGTTGGGGGGCCTTCTCCTTCTTTCCCCCCTCCCAATAAATCGCTGCGAACAGACGCTGTGCGCTATCGCAAAGGCAAAGGCATTGGAGCCGCCCCGGTTTAGATGGCGCTAGGTCTGACACTGTCCGAGCAACGTAGCGTGACTCCGGACTGCATTGCCGATGTTTCGGTTGATGCAAAAGGTCCGTGATTCATGGGAGCACGTGGGAAACCACAAGAAAAAGAGGTGTTTGACGTTTGATGACATGGGAAAAGTTAGCCATGGTCATGTGGGGGCCTTGAATGGAATCTTGATCAACCCCCATTGATTTCTTTTCGAGCCCAAGCAACAAGCATCCAAAGCTTGGTGTTTCGAGCCAATTCAGTGCAGCAACCATGGCTTGTGCGATTCACGTGGATAGCCCACAAAGGCAGTTGGCTGACTATTTGTCCCTGCAGTCGTGCACTTTCAGGGACAAGGTTTGCAGGCTTTGACCCCAGTTGATGAGATTAGCCCCAAAGTGTATGAGCAAGTTGTCGCAAAAAAAAGTATCCGACCGTACATTGTTGTATGCATTCGTGACCGATGACTCGCGCCGTCAACTATCTCAGCATGGTTCGAAGAAGTGTTCGATGCAGGGTATCATGTAGCTGGTATTGCGTGTTCGGCTGTCCGGTAAGGGGGAGACAGCTACCAGCTTCCTGAGAACACGGTCGATTGCCGGGGCCTCGCCAAGTGAGATAGAGCCGCCGCAACGTCACATGAGCCTACTGTAGGACGAAGAAAAAGTAATCTATAGAGAGAGAGAGAGAGAGAAAGAGAGAGAGAGAGAGCGAGATTACGCATACACGGAAATATAAAAATGCAGAAATGTGTGCGGAATAAGCAGATGAATGCCAGCAACAGCTATGTCTCTTCAAATGTCCTGTAAAGGTTTCTCTTGACGAAGGCTGAGGCTCAGAGGCACTTGACGGAAGAGTCAAAAACTTCAGCGGCCGCTTTCAGCATACTTGCAGCTGGCATATGCCCACTTCCCAAGGAAAACCTGAGAAGCCACCAAGCTGACGAGTGTTAGTGAGGTGCCCTTGCGACATATGCCCAATTCCCATGGATGCTTGGTGGATGCTTCGTGGAGTTCGCCATCTTCGCGTCGAGGCTGCGAATCAGGGCCTCGTGAGCCGGGATGAATTCGTCGCTTGCATTGCCAGCCGCTCAGTGACTGTCTTTGGCGAAAGAATGAGGAGGGTGGTCCCCAGCCATCCGGTTTCCTAGTTGTTTTTAGTTTTTTTTGTTGGTTTGGTGGGGGATTCCCATTTCACCCACAAAAAGTTGATCTTTCTTTTGGCGGGGGAATCTGAAAACGGACAGCCCAGAATGCAGAGGGCTATGGCGCAGGGCGGTGAGTGGACAAGTCGGGTTTATGGGGCCGGGGCAGTGAGCATGGCCTAGATCTCTAAGGGTTTTTGTACTACAGCCTGGGAATACACCCACTGGGTATTGACCCCAACCGTGTTATTTTGAAGCATTCTGGGTCATTTCCCAAGGGTGTATGTAATCCCAGAGATTAATACAAAAACCCTCAGAAGATCATTCTTCACCCACTGCCGAAGGCCTGCGCCACTCCACAGCAATCACAGAGTGATGAAGATGAGGATTCACAGCTGCTTGAAATGGAGGTTCAGCCAATGATGGGTCAAAATTGAGCCACCAGAGGACCGCAGGTTTTTGTCCGTGTTTCCATTTACCAGGGCAACCCATTTTGGGTACCTATTTGTGCCCCACAGCCAGCTAACGGGTCTACAATCGATAGCCACGCGTTGGCCAAGTTCGGTAGCTTTTCAGTAGCTGTTCTCCGCCGTTTGCTGGTGCTGATGTTCCACTGGAGTACATGGTTGGGCAATCCACCGGTGTTGCCGGGCACCGTCTACCCCAAAAAAGAGCAGACTGTTAAAGTCTTTCATAGCGTACCTCCTTTCAACACAGAAAGAAGCGAGCAATGAAAAAGCAAAAGAAGCTGACAACAACAGCAAGCAAACAAAGAAAACAAACAGCAAACCGGCTTTCAAGGTCTTGGCATGTTCACCATGTGGCTCTCAACGACACCCCCCATTTTTATATTTTTTTGCATTGCACGCGGTTAGCTTTCCGAGGCTTCACTCGGGCTACCCATTAGTGCGCGGCTCAGCTCAGCGTGTGTGCATTGTAATCAAAAGTCTTAGGCTGTGTGTATTTGGGTGTGTCTGTTGTGAGGGGGGCTGTCTCGCGGTTTTTGAGAAGCCAAAGGAAAACGACCCATTTCGGGGCTCCCCCCTCAGACACCATATATTTGTATATATATATGGTCCCGTGTTCCGTGTTGCTACCCCCCCCCCCCCATATGGTATGGTCCCCCAGGACCCCCCCCCTCCGGCCCGAGACCCCGAGCCCCCGGATCCTGGCACCTACGGTCCCACCCCCACCCCGACCCCCTGAACTCGCACCCCGACACCCTGACACCCCCACCCCCAGGACAAGCCAACCCGCAACCCACCATAAACCAACCCCAAACTAACCCTAAACCAACCCTAAATACACCCTAAACCAAACCCTAAACCGTGGACCTCTAAACCTAAACCAACCCTAAATCAACATAAACCAACCCTAAACTAACCCTAAACCAACCCTAAACCAACCCCAAATACACCCTAAACCAATCCCTAAACTAACCCTAAACCAACCCCAAATACACCCTAAACCAATCCCTAAACAATAAACCCTAAACCTAAACCAACCCTAATTACACCCTAAACCAAACCCTAAACCAAACCCTAAACCGTACACCTCTAAACCTAAACCAACCCTAAATCAACATAAATCAACCTAAATCAACCCTGAACCAACCCTAAACTAACCCTAAATACACCCTAAATATACCCTAAACCAATTCTAAACCAACCCTAAACCACCACAACCCAACCACAGGACCACAACCACCGGGGGGGGGGGGTACTTGTCTGACCCATGACCATTGGGGGGGGAGGGGGGGGGGGGCTGGCAACGCTGTACCATATATATGTGTACATATATATATATATATATATATACATATACATGCACAAGGCTTTCTTGATCGATATATGAGAGTCAGGTACTGGTTTTATTTGCATCGCAGTGACAGTGGCTTGCCTCGAGTGCGTCCAAGGCCATGCGGAAATCCTGGATTTGTTCGCCTTTGCAGTTGGCAGCCAGGATCCTAAGAGCCTTTGGAGCTGAATTTAGGTTCATCAAGGAGTGTCGAGAAGCCGGGGGTGTTTTCTATCATGTTCAACCCGCATTGGATGTTCAGGAAGAAGCGTTGATTTCCCCACTGAGAGGTGAGCTGGGTCCAGTTTAAATCAGAGGTTATTTTCGCTTGCCAAGGTACAGAGCGTGACACTGCGGTATTGGAGGAGGTGACTCAGGTGCTGAGAAACGCCATGTGGGTGGCTCGTCCTTTTTTTGGGGGTACCCCTTTTTGTGTGATTTCTAAGGGACACCAAAGAGCAAAACCACCATTTTGGGGGGACCCCTAAAACATCCTAAAACAAAGACACGTCCACCACGTTGAACTTCCATTTGCTCAAGAACATTGTTTCTTTTCCCCTGTTGGTTTTAAAGATAATCTATTATTACTGGAAATATTTGCTCATTTTTTCCAGGGGTCTTAACCAAATGGAAGTGAATCCCCCCAATTGGGATGAGACGAGCTACGGGCTCAAGTCGGATAGCCGAACTGAGACCGAGGTCTCGTCCGTGGTCCGGGGCTTTGCTGGCTGAAGCAAATCCCATTTGGGGGAAGGACCCCACACCCCCAAACCCCGAAACACCCTAAAACCCCAAACCCCCAAACCCCCAAACCACCCACCCATTGCACCCATTGACCCCCCAACCTTGCCGTTGAAGGTTCTGGATGGATATATGTGCTAAGGTGTGGGCTGTGAAAATTTGAAAGGTAATACTATGTATTACTCTCGTTTTCAAGGCTTAAGGCTATGGCTCGTGTCCACGCAACCGTGGTTTCCCGATCTTTCGGGCAAACTTACTTGGGTGGCTCGTCTTTTTTTGGGGGGGAACCCCCTTTTGGTTGGTTTGTAGGGGGAAACCGAAAGGAAGACTCAGTATTTTGAGGGCGGGGTCGCCTAAAGCAAGGGCCCACCCACTTGGTCTACTTACTTGTTTGGCCTATAGGCATTGTGTCCATCTTTGGCGCAGGTGCTGGATGCTGCTCTTCCGCATCTTGCACCTGTGGGTGGTCAGAGTCTCAGTGGCCGGAATGATCAGCTCGACCTTTGCCAGCCTTGAGCACAGTTCGCTAATTAAGAAGCAGTATGATCTTTGGCTTAGAGGCACAGAAGCAAAGTCGCCTTCGACGAGAAAGACGGAGTACATCAGTGAGCAATCCCAAGTGTACAAACCGTTGGCATTCAGAACAGTGGGGCATGACCAGTTTAACCTTTGGGCACTGCCGGAGCGGTTGAGAAGACCATGATTTCATTTGAGCTAGCCGAGATCGGCTGAAAACAAGGTCCAGACATCAGGTTTTTTTCTGGATCACATGGGTCACAGCAGAAAGCAAGAGCCTGTGGCTCCATGCCACATTCTGCTCACGACTTGAAACTGAACAAAAAAGCGATCTTCCTTTCAGAAACTTCAGGAAGGGGCTCTGCACCCGAATCATGGCAAAGGCTTCGCTGCACAAGCGGGATCGACATGTATGCCAGAGGTTGAAACCACGTGATTTGCTTTGAAGCAGATGGATTGGCACGTTCCAAACAGTTCCTGGGATCCTCATCGATACCATCTTTTCCTTCAGTCCGCGTCATTTTCGGCGTTCGCCGTAGCGGCCAAGGATCTTCAGGTCCTGTGAATTTGAGCCCAGAGGCGAGATTGGTTGTCCCGGGAGGGCACCGTCCCTTTACTTGAGGGAAGCTTTCAAGGCACTGCAGGTTTTAGTCCATGTTTCCACTTACCAGGGTTCCATGTTACCTATTGTTGACCCACAGCCATTTGCCGATTTCCTTAGGATTTGCACAGAGAGCGTCGGCTCAGTCACCGACAGGCGGAGAGAGTCGTCGGGCGCGTGCGCAGCGCTGTGGGCCGGTCCGGGAGGCCTTTCGAGGAGGCACGGGATGGACATGCAGAACTGGGCAATGAGAAATCAAAGACCTCTCTACCTCTGGCCACTCCCTTATCGCAACTTGGGGTATTCTCGAAATGAGTATATATATATATAGAGAGAGAGAGAGAGCACCTGCTTCAAGCAAAAAAAGGGGGGAGATTTGAGGAAGCATATGAGATGGTTTGCATGGAGGCATGGGTGCTTTTGTGTACACGTGTTTGCAGCTGTATTGAGGATGCCCCCTAGCTAGTCTCTGAACGTCTCTGGCTGCGTGCTGAGTGTTCGGCTCACTGCTCTTGTTGACATGAAAAGCAAAGGACCCTTCTTGTCTCAGCGTCAAAGCACATGAAAGGAAACCCTCTAACTTGCCGCATTTTACCGCAATTTACCATCAGAATGATTGGTTTGCTTGGAATATCTGGGGCCTTCACCGTAGCAAGGACGGCGCTTGGAGAAGTGGTGAGGGTAGCCCTGACTGCTGGACAAGCCCTGGCCACTTCAAACTTGGTCGACCTCTTCTTTGGCTGCTAACACCTCCATGGCAAAAGTGTCCGGAGCACGCATGGTTTACTCCAGTCAAGCCGAATCTGAACCAAGACTTTGCAGAGTCCATGCCCAGTCGGAGTGCTGGCTGCCCAGCCCTAGTCAAAAGAGCGGAGTTCCTGCAGGCTGTATCCAAACACTTGGCCTGAGCTGTGCTTCAAAGTACCAGTGGTTCACACAATCAAGAAAAACTACTGGCAAGTACAGCACCCTCCAAGGTTGAGGCAGAAACGAGGGTATGGGGACAAGCAAATGTCTTCCTCAAGGGACAGACCAGTGATCCGCTCCCGCGTCTAACCTATTTGTGCGGTTGAACTAGTGGTCATGTTTAGGACCCATCGGGCGTTGTTTTTAAGGTTGGACCTCCAAAATGATGGATATTCCTTTCACTTGTGGTTTCCAATTAAAACCTGTCAAAGAAAGACACCCACATCTTCCAAGCGTGTACAAGGATTTGCGCAATTTGTTGCTCACGCTTGGATTGAGGTACATGCTCATGGATGCGTGATCATACCCCTCTTCTATCCAGGGCCCAGAAAGCGCTGAAAGTTCTTTAACCAACGAGGGCAAAGCGGGGACACAATGACCAGTGCTGAAGGATTAGACTACAGGTGATCCAATTGTACGGCCACTGCTCATAACCTATGCCTCCATTTTGGGGCGGATGAACACCCATGTACCGCCTATTTTGATGTTCGCCAGGGGTACAGGGTTTTGCGCCACAGCGTTACAAGCACTGATTCAGTGGATCCAATTGTACAAGCACGAATTCAGTGAAGGGACACCTCGATCGAGCATGTTTTCCCCTGGCGCCCGGGAAACCTTTCCACCGCCAAACCGCCAAACCGCTCACCAGGTCTTCCGCGGCTTCTGCCGCGCAGGGGGCCGCGGGGCGAGCACCATGACCAGAGCGGACTTGGCCCGGGCCCGGGTCCTGGAGACCGAAGCGACCGAAGAGGCGGTCAGCTCACGTCAAGAGCTGTGTCGACGTGAATTGCATATGCCTGTGGTGGTCAAAACCGTTTTGGGATCCCATTTTGGTAGGTAGGTGGATGCACCCATTTTGGAACCCATTTTAGTGGTTGGATTGGGATGTTCACTGGGGTACGGGATTTGACCCACGGCCACATGGGTATGGGTCAAGAATCCAGCAGGAATTGGACCGCAGGTTGTGGTCCATGCTTCCATTTATCAGGATTCCTTTTCTGGTATCTATTTTGGACTCACAGCCACATTGGAACCCGCTTTTTTTGTGTGATCCACACCGCTTTCTGAGTGGTCAAGCATGATCCAATCTGATCCTAGTTTCCTGTAGTAGATCAATCCGTTACTTCCCGAATGGCGGTCTTTGCCCAGTGTATCATCGGCGCACAAGCATCAAAACACAAGGCACCGGCAAGATGCGGGAAACACAAAGGTCAAAGAATGCTGGTGACTTCACGTCATCCTTGGTTTGATTTGTTTCCTACGAATGATGCTTAACTAGTGGAACGTGATGCTTGGCACTACCAGCTTCTTGGGCCTGCCTTGCGAGAGCTCAAAGGCATTGCCCACGTGGCCATTTGCAGGTCCTGTCCACATTCGACCCGGACATTGACCCGGAGGCAGCGAGCAAGTTTTCAGCCTGTTTCAGGGGGGGGGAGGGTGATAGCGAGGGAACTACGAGCTACTGAAAGTGACCCGGAAAACAGCCACAGTGCTGCATGTTTGAAGCTTTGTTCCCAATCAGTCCAAAAATCCGGGTGGTGCCAGGATGTTCATCCACCCCAAAATGCAGCCGGTTCTGCCCCATGGCCATTTGAGGCGTTCTTCAAGCCACGCATGGCTCAGCATCCAGCGCGAATCGGTGGCCTTTCTCGAGACGCAGGTGGTGGCTCGCTTGTGGCGACTCTCCGTTCCTGAGAGCGTCGGGCGCTCGTTGGACTCAAAGGCATGGTGAGCTCACACCGCCGGGCCCAAGGTTTGCTGGCTGCTTACTGGGGGTTGATCAAAAGGTCCTTTACATGGGATGACCATCAGGGAAACCGCCGCAAAATATGTTTTTTTTCTCACCACTCAACAGAGCGAGTTACCTGTGGTCATTTGGGGGCCGAAGGGAATATTGATCCACCCCCCACTGTTGAGAGTACTTCAGGATTGAGTACATTTGTAATGGTGGAGCGAAGCCCACAAGAAACTGTTGGGGCTGGAGCAATGTTACTGTCGTGATCCGCGTTGCACCCTACCAATGCGCTCTCAGTTTGTGATTCGCGAAGCGGCAAACACCCAATAGAACTGGAATAATGCAGGATAACTCGCACAAATCCAGAAATGCAATGTATACACAACCGCCCTGACATCCCGGGAGATTGCCCAACGCATTGAAGAAGTACCCGAAGGCCGCCGGGTTGTAAACGCTGCATGTCCTGGCGCAGACGGGTCGTTTGATTGACTGGAGGTTGGGCGAGAGCTACACACAGCTGTAGCCCAAAGCCGGAGGGGGGGCTGCGACGCCCTCGTAGCCTAAGGGCAGTCGACTCAAGCAAAGCCGCAATGCGGAGCAGGAGTAGCGCAGCGGGGCCAAGCAAGCACGCGCAAGAAAGGCGCGTCTTTTCTCGGCGAGCCCGAGGCAGGGCATGTGGTTTCAGAAGAACCCGATGAGATCAAGAAGGATCTGACGCGACACGGTTCAATTTCGCACACGTTGCGAGGATTTGGTGATTTGGCCTACACGCAAAAAGCGCACACAAGATGCCATTATTCATCTTTGCTGAAGCGCTCAAGGCGCAGGCCGGTGCCGATGTGCGAAACGCAGCTTTCCAACTCCGGGCGGGCTTTGCAAAAACCCAACACGAATTGTTTGACTAGTCACAACTTTGCCGAACCCCATGCATTGGCCTCGGTTCATACCGCGCACATGGACGTGTTTCGCACCTGTGACTGGTCTGTTTCGCAATTGTGCAACAGCCACGTTGCATGCGCAAGGGGCATGTCAAAGGTATGCCGATGGTAGCTGCTCCACATGGTGGTGCGCAAGGGGGTCGAATGGCTGGTGTCGGACCCACCGTGCTCTTCAAAGGACGTGTTTTTTGGAATATCCGGCGTCTAGTTTTGCATGCGGATGGATGTTCCTTTGCAATCCATGCATCCGGACGGCTCAATACGCATGAGAGATTTGAACCTTCCCAGATGAATGGGCGGGGTTCCCAAGAAATCATGTCAAAAAGGCCCCCCTCACCCTCCTGCTTGTCAATTTGATTTTATCCAGCAGAACTTCCTGCGCCATGAAGGTGGATGTTCACTTGCCCAGTGGAGATGGCTACTCCGTAGAAGTCTCACCGGAAACGCTCATCAGCGAGCTGAAGGCTGCAGCGCAGCAGCATTTCCAGCACCGCCTGAATCTCACTGCGAAAGGCCGGCAGCTTGATTCGACGGCTACGCTGAGTGAGGCCGGGTTGCGAGATGGGGACATGGTCGCTGCTGTCGTGCAGCTTGGCAGACTGGCCGCCACTCATAGTGCATTTGCCTGGTATGGCCACGGGGCCGATGTTGTGACCTGGGGTGATCCCAACTATGGTGGAGACAGCAGCCAGGTGCAAGAGCAGCTGAGGAACGTCCAGCACATCGAAGCAGCTGGCATGGCTTTTGCCGCCATTCTCGAATCTGGGGCTGTTGTAACCTGGGGTGATCCCGCCTGGGGCGGAGACAGCAGCCAAGTGCAAGAGCAGCTGACGAACGTCCAGCACATCCAAGCAACTAGCTCTTCTTTTGCTGCCATTCTTGAATCTGGGGCTGTTGTTACCTGGGGTGTGCCAGAAGAAGGCGGAAACAGTGGCCCCGTGCAAGCGCAGCTGAGGAGCGTCCGAGAAATCCAAGGAACTGGCACTGCTTTTGCCGCCATTCTTGAATCTGGGGCTGTTGTGACTTGGGGTGTTCCAGAAGAAGGTGGAGACAGCAGCCAGGTGCAAGAGCAGCTGAGGAACGTCAAGCACATCCGAGCAAATGACTGTGCTTTTGCTGCCATTCTTGAATCTGGGGCTGTTGTCACCTGGGGTCGTGAAGAATATGGCGGAAACAGTAGCCGGGTGCAAGAACAGCTGAAGAATGTCCAATACATCCAAGCAACTTCCCAGGGGGCTTTCGCTGCCTTTCTTGAATCTGGGGCTGTTGTCACCTGGGGTTCACCACACACTGGCGCAGACAGCAGCCAGGTGCAAGAGCAGCTGAGAAACGTCCAGCACATCCAAGCAAATGGCGGTGCTTTTGCTGCCATTCTCGAATCTGGGGCTGTTGTGACCTGGGGTCGTGCAGAATGTGGGGGAGACAGCAGCGAGGTGCAAGAGCATCTGAAGAACGTCCAGCACGTCCAAGCATCTGTATGTGCTTTTGCGGCCATTCTTGAATCTGGGGCTGTTGTGACCTGGGGTATGCCGCTCCACGGTGGAGACAGTAGCCAGGTGCAGGAGCAGTTGAGGAACGTCCAGCACATCGAAGGAACCTTTGGTGCTTGTGCTGCGATTCTTGAATCTGGGGCTGTTGTGACCTGGGGTGCGTCATATCATGGCGGAGACAGCAGCCAGGTGCAAGAGCAGCTGAGCCTTTCCCTGAAGCCGTAACATGAGGGCGCTCGGCAAAGCTGGAGCGCTAAAAAGCCCGCTCAAGTTTAGGCCTGGTGCACGCTCATGCAACCCCGCGTAGCCTACAGTTGGCTGCCCAATTTCAACATGGAAATGGTTGGGCTGCAGGGCTGCATATTCATGTAATGCAACTGCCAGGAGCACAGTATGAGGCGTCCATGTTCCGCTGTGTGAACTTAAGCAGCTGGGCATGTCCAAAATGTTGCTTATCCCAAGAACCAGTTCATCAAAGGCAAGCTGTGCCTGCAGGCGAACTGTTCAGGTATGCAGACCTTTGCCTATGATTTCTATGGCTGACCAACGGCGCACCCTTGAGATCCCACGACTTATTGAGAGATGTTTTCAGGGTGGAAGTGGAGCTGCATATCCCTTGTTCATTCGGTGGATGGGCAAAATCCATTTCGCACCTAAGGCCTGGAATGCTGATTGCCCCGTACATTTCATCCATGGTTTCAACCCTTTCAAGGTGGTGCAGGTCTTTTGGCTTCGGTTTTCCAAGGCACGGAAGCTTCCCGAGTTCCTCGCAGTCTGTTCCAATGGCTCTGGTGACGAAGTGGCCGCCCCGCGCGGCCCAGGCCACTGGCCTGGACTTCTCCAGCTTCTGCAGCTGGTTCTGTCCCGGAGGGCGAGCCCTGGTGCCGCCCGCCTGGAGTTTCTTTTTTTTCTTCTTTTTTTTTTGGCGGCCCCCCGCGAGCACTTTTTTTTGTTTGGCTTTTGTGCATGCGCGGTCTTCCGCGTGCTGAAGAGTAGGTGTTGTTTCCTTTGTTTTTTTTTACGTTCCCTTGGGTTTTGAAGGGAGGCCATCACTCATGTCAGGAGACGATTAGTAAACCCCCCCCGATGAAAGGTTTCCCCTTTTCCCCTTTTCCCAGGTTCCAACCAACACTAAAGTGTTGGGCCAACAAGATTTGCCAAAAAAAACCTACCCAATAATTTTTGAGCCCTCCCCAAAACCCCCCTGATTAAAGGTATCCCTTTGCAGCCCCCAAGCCAACAGAACCTGCCAGAAAAGATGCTGTCCTTCTTGCTTAGTATTTGCTTTGTCTGTGCTTAAACCCACCAAAACTAAGTCACTATTGAACCCCTCAAGTTTTCCCCAAAAATGTGCTTCCCCCAAAATGCATTTTTCTTTATTAAAATTTGTTTAAAATGACAAGGTTTTCAAGCTCACCCCCCTTGGAGGCCAGTTCCCCCTCATGAACAGAACACCCCCCGCGATTAATCAGGGCCCTTTTGGGCTCAAAACCCCAAAAATGCTGTTGCCTTTTCAAGTCCTACTGCCCCGAAGGGACCAGAAGTGAGAGGACGAGGACCGAAAGGTCCTCCCAAAAATCTCAATTTTTGGGACTTGTCCAAACCTTGTCAACCTTGAAGGGGGGGGGGGTTTACTGATCAGTTGTCACCATCACCGGAAGTTTTGGTTGTCCAGGCGGTGTAAGCAATAGGACTTTGTATGTTGAATCCCGATTGCACAGGCCCAGATCTTTAATCTTGTGGGCACATTTGAGTACCGTTGCTTTTGTTCCGCTGCTCGAAAGTTGTAGGGCAAAGGAGTATTCGCAAGAAGTGGCACTGAGATGCAGTCGCGGAGGCCCGTGAAAAGACTTCGGCGACACAAAGTCCGCAGACGGTTTGCACTGGTTCTTGTTTGTTGAACGCATTGTTGATGATGGTATGGCTATTTCGGAATTTCGCTTTCCAGGCTGCATAATCGTTGTGTGTTCGCCAGTTGGGCTGCAATACTGTGGTATGTGGAATGTAGGCACTCGAAACAAGGTTTTTGTGAACAGCAGTCTTCCGGGAGAAGGCACGACCAGAAAACAAATGAGGATGTTGGTCATTGAGGATGACGGAGCCTATTGAAGCTCCGCGAACCGCATTTGTGAAATGTGTGTTCCTTTGGTTTCCCAACATGGACTGTAGTCAGACCAGAGGGCATCAACTGCCTGACGCTACCGCGGTCCCTCAAACATGTAGACGATTTGGTCCCATTGGCGATATGCTACATCATGGCTCCGCTTTGCAGCCAGGCGGGCCATGGCGGACATCCGCATACTCCCACTGGTCTCAGCGAGTCGCATATGCTGCCAGACTCTGAGAAACGTGGAAACACTCAATTCGATTGAATATGACCTAGCCTCCATCTTGAGGGTGTATCTGGCTCGTGTCAATGGCAAGTGGTGCCGTTTCGCGCATATCAAATTTCGCGGCTTGGGGCTTCACGCGCCAAGCCGGAAGGCAATTCGAAGGAATGTTGCGACCCACCAAACAAGTTTGGGACAGTCTCACGGAACTCCTGTTTCATGAGTGCAACTCGCAGGTTCTTGTGAAGTAGGTTTGAAGCCAACCCCTCATGGCCATGGCGGTGGCCATACGGAAATTCATGTTTCTCTCTGTGCTCACAATGATTGGGCTGAAAGCTCCGTTCCAGTATCCTCCAGGGTGTGTGTTCCCCATGAATGTCAATCCAATATCAGCATCATTTGCTTATCCAAAACTCGCTGAGAGGCGAATCCCGAGTTGCACCCAACCCATCAGGCTCGAAGGTCCCACCAAGACTTGAACCACTTGGTCAACCGCTGAATTCGGAGCGTTTGCGAGATGGCTGTGGGTCAAAACCAATGGGATACCATTTTGGGGTAGGTACACCACTCATTTTAGATTTAATTTTAGTTGGGGTTGGGATGTTCACTGGGGTACGGGCTTTTGACCCATGGCCATATGTGCCCCTGCAGCATCAACAAGTTGAACTAGTTGTTATGTCAAGAATTGCTGCCAGCAGCCTGTGATGGCAAAACAAGCAGTCGAAGAAGTTTGGGCGGGTACTCAGTGAGAGTGTCAATCAAAAAGCCCAATTAAACAAAATGTGCGCTGCATAAATGTATACTATCACGAAAGCTAGCTGCCAGCTCGAGTCTCTCTTGCTTTGGCAAGAGACGAGGCCAGTGAATCCCACAACTCTGTGGTATATCAATTCTTGTTGCGTTCCAGGAATTTTGACTTTATCGCCACCTCCGAATTGCGCCAACCCCCCCCCGCCGCCCACTCTTTGCTTCACTCTTCTGGAGCGCACTTCTCCGCTCCCCGCTCTTCTGCCCACTCTTCTCTCCGCAGTTCGCTCCGCGCTTTTCTCCAGTCTGCTCCAAGCTCTTAAACTTAACGCCCTTTGCTTGCCCTCTACCGCTGTGGCTGTTGCTCTTTCTTCTCAAGTCCTCCCCTGTCCACCCCTCAAAGGGCCGGCGTTGCCTTTGCGCGGAGGCTAGCTTTTGTTTGCCTCCCCTATCTTGTAGATGATGTCTCCGAGCTTGACTAAGACACCAAACCTTGCCATGCCATAATATCAACGACCATACACATGCGCTCAGACTCTGGCTAAAATCGATGGAGTCCATTTACCAAGAGATGAGCAATAATGGACGCTTCCAGAGCGCATGCAAGCTTTTCATCAGCCTCCGACAAAGATACGCGGAAAGTTGCCCACGGCAACGAGCAGGCCACATGGTATGGAGCGTCACACCTGGAAATGTGTCAAAATACAGAGACCCCAAAATGATCCTGTTGGTTGCTGTTTGCACCAAGGTGAAAAAACCTGGTGCCCTCGCCAAAAGGTTACAGCCACATGTCCAATGGCTACGAGTCCAGGTCACAGCTGCTTGAGAGAAGCATGCCGGCTGCTGAGAAAGATCTTGAGAGTGGCCTCTGCAATCAGCTCAGGGAGCTCCGGGGAAAAGATGACAGCACTGAGCACATGGGGATCCAACTGTGCTGAAGTATCAAAGTCTATCAAGATTTATATAATGTTGCCTAAGACCAAATACATGTACTTCGGTTGATCGCCAGAGATGCCATTTCTGGATCTCGTCGGAGATGCTATGGATTTCCAGCTGGGTTTCCAGCTACATGCGCCCACTGCCACCCTTAGTCCAAAAAGAACCTATCACATCAATATACATCAATGTTATATCGGTTTCTTGAGAAAATAAGACGGACTTTCCCTTTTACAGATGTACAGCAAAAACGTGTGAGAGAGCTATAACTCTGGATTCTGATGCTCTGTACTAGTGTATAGTACCCATTTAGGTTTGGCTGTTTGAAAGAGTTTGTTCAACCCCTTGAACATTGGTTTTTTGTTGCCCCTCAAATTGAGGGGTTCTTTTGTGGGAAACCCCCGAAGCCAAGACCAAAGATCTTTGGGGTGTCCTCAAATTCCATGACAGACCCATAAAACATGCTCGGGGCCAATTCCGTGCGTCCAGTTTCGGCCTTAGGCCGCGCTCTCCGGGGAACTTGCCCTCGCCCCTCTCCGCCTCGATGCCCAACCTTTGCCATTTGGATCAGCCCGGCCCCCAATCGGTCGAGACGGTTTGGCGGTTTTGGTTTGGCTTCTCTCGCACTGTCCTGGAAAAATCAGCAAGCCTACAAAGTCCCAGAGGAGATTTTTCTGGAATTTGGTGTTTTGGGGTTCCATGTCAATTTGGAGGAGAGAATCCTGCAATGGTTCATGAACAGGAATGGGTTGAACAGTGGCTTGAACCTGGCCCAGCGTTGATTGTGCCGTTCCTACCCAGGCCGCTCCCAGTTTCGCCGCAGGAGCCTCGGGTTGTTGGTGCTGGCAACTAGCGAGTAGAGTCCAAGATTGAAGAGCGCGCGTGAGACAATTTGGGTATGGGTCAAAATAGTCACCACCAGGATATGGACCGCGGGTTTTGGTCCATGTGTCCATTTACCAGGGCAAGCCATTTTGGGGTTACCAATTTTTTGACAACCACAGCCGAATTAGTTTCTGAGAGCCCCGGTGTTTCAAGCTACAAGGAGCTGAGTCACCCCGAGTAAAGAAAGAGAGATGAGTACCGGCTCAAGCTCAGAGAGGCCGAAGTTTTCGTCCCGCTGTTGTCCGAGCCCGTAAATGGGGCTGAGTCAGTTTACAGTTGCGGTCCATGAGTTGCACGACTGGTGTGTTAATCATAGCAAGTATCTCGGCATGTACCTTGTTAGAGCTCACATTGTGAGCTGCAAAGCATCAGGGGCAAACTCCCCCAGTCCCATGGACACGCTCTGAAGCTTTTTTTTTTTGGCCTACCACTACTCACTACTCATGCCAAACAATGATGGTTGGTGCAAGTAATTACCTTTTTTTTCCAGAATCAATGGCCAACCTCTGAACTCAGCCCACTTTGCTGGGCAGTTGTCCACGCGCACCTCGCGTGCTTCAGCCCGCGCTGAGGGCAGCTCGTGCCACCACGCTGACCCCAGAGCAGCTGCTGTCCAACGAGTTCCGACAGGCACACGGTGGTCGACAGCTGCGATCGGTTAGTTTGGTTGGTACCACTGGTTGAGATCGCCATGGTTCAAAACCAGTACCATTTTAGGGGTTTTCGGTGCACCACCCATTTTAGAACCTATTTTAGTGGTTGGATTGGGATGTTCTAAGGGTTGATTCCTTCCCCATTCTGTCCAACCATCGTTCTTTTCGAAAACCGGATCCGTTTTCCTGGGTTTCCGGAGGTTTGCTAGAAAGAAGGATCCGGGGAAGGTAGCACTAGAAATATAGCGGATCCTTGAGTTCTGTGTGAAGATCGGCCTCAAGATGGCAGATGTCATCATTTGTCATCATTTACAAGAGGGTTGATGTCCGCCAATCAGTGTTGAGGGTGTTCCCCACTGGTTTGAGTTCCGTGCGAAGAAATTCTGAGGCCTCAAGTCTTTCAGAGGTGAAGATGGTTCCGTTGAGAGCGGAGGCGCCGAGGAATGCATGGCCTACATGGCCAGCGCTGCAGGCGTTGGCGTCGGAGTGCTTGGTGGGTATTTGTTGTTTGTTTTGTTCAAAAGGAAACCAGAAGGAAAACCACCCATTTTGGGGGGTGTTCAAAGGACATGCCCTGGTTGTCTTTCAATCCTGCAAAAGGGCCAGGTTCCAAACAATACAGGCGCGCTGCCTGTGAAAGCTTGGCTCGGGCTTTCTCCACGCGATTTGGGCACTGGGATACCAGCAGAATGGGATGTTGGCAGAGCCCCGCTGTGGCCAAGGCCACAGCTTGACGCTGCACGGTGAAGTGATCAGTGTGCCAGAATACCAAATCATTCGCTTGAGTCGCTCATGATCCAAGGCTTTCAGGCGATCGCGGAATATGTTTCGCTTGGTCAAGTCCACACCGATCTCCAGGGATTCGTATGGCTGGCTCCGCTTTCTCTCCGGTCGGCTGGGATGGTTTGACCATCGCTGCCTTCCCCGAAGACATCAAACAGATGCGATGCATTGCACAAATTTTGACCAAAAGCCATCAGAGCCTAAACAAAGATGGACATGGAAAGGACCTGTGCACCGAAATGGGGTGTTTGGCAGTGCATGCTCTGGTATGGTGTAGACGTCCTATATCTCCATCATGCTGATTTCGAAGGCTTATTTGACTTTGTGCCAAGCGAGGCGGGATGTGTGCAGCCGCCGCCTCTGTCAAGCCTGTCGCTGGGAAACCTGGTGTGCTTCGAATGAATCAGCTGTGTAGATACAGTAGTGTAGTTTATAAGCAATAATGTTTACCATCCAGTGCTTTGCGATTCCGGATTGAAATCTAGTTTGATGGGTGGATGTATAAATCATGATGGAAATGATAACCATAAGTGTGTTGGGGAAAAAAGAAAAGAAAAAGAAGGAAACAAAAAACGAGACGCCTAGGTATGAGGTGTTTGATGGGTGGATTTGACAGTGCTTGACATGGCTTTGGGTCAAAAATAGGTACCCCAAATGGAAGCCTAGTACGTGGAAACATGGACCAAAACCTGTGGTCCAATTCCTGGTGGTGACTAATTTTGACCCATACCCACATGTCACAGCGTGTGCTTGGTGAGGTCACAAGAGGACTTCCCGGCCATGGCCTGTGCACTACCTAGAATGGAGACTTGAGAGTGGGACCGGGCTACAGGATTCCGTTTTTTGGACAACCCCAAAGTGGACTTGAACCCAGTAGATTTCCCCAAAAGGGAAACCCCTGGGGTTTAAGTCTACCTTGGAGTCCGTGGAAATCAGAAAAGAGGCGCTCCGAAGAAGTTCTGTGCCAGAGGGCGGACGGGACTGAGGCAAAGATCAAAGGGAAACATCTGCTTGGGGCAAATGAATCTTATCAATATGGGTGCGGCGCCTGCAAAGGATTGCCTCACAGTAGATGGCAGAAGCAGAAATCACCTGGTAACCCAGCAGAAACAGGTGGTCGCACAATACAAGACAAACGCTTGCAGAATTCATGGATCATTTGCTGCATTTGCGCACCAAGTTGTGTCCAGGTGCAGTGCATGATGTCGGATTGACGGTTGTGGTTGCTTGCCATTGATTCTGCGTGGCCGAGTGACACGCGGACTGAGGTCTGAGCCGCTTACACGGGTATCTCGCTCTCAAAGGCCAGCCCCATGGAGATGGGTCAAAAATTTAGAAATGTACCATGCTCGTGAAAGGTCAGAGCAAGGTTGAGACTCCTTTGAATACTGTAAGGTTCTCACTTTGTGAACCCACAAAGCAAACAGCTTTTGACACCGTAATTTGTCCTTTGTTTACTGACTGTACCGCAAGCCAGGGTCAACTGTGCTTTGCCTTCAACCTATTGCCACCAACAAGGGTGCACGCGAGCTGCTGCTTGGCTTCGCTACGACAACTCTGGAAGCAGCAGATCCAATGCCATTGTCCATTGCTAAATCAACAAAATGATGGGATTCCAATCGTCTTTAGGGGACAGGAGTTTGGAAACAAATCGCCGGTTTCGTCGCTAGACGAATGAACACTCTTGAGAGAAATCCCGGAAAAGGTCCACGAGGCAGTGCTCAATAAAGGAACCTCTCACAAACGGCATGGGACGAATTGTCGATATAGGTGGCGCGTCTTTTTTCAGGTTGGACCCAGAGTTTGGGTGGTGTTCCTTTGGCTTTCTCTTAAAGCCACACAACAACGGCATCAAAAACGGACTCCCATAGGATTTGCATTGGTTGAAGCACGTCCCGCTCTGCTCAAAGTGTCAATTTAAGAGCTTTCGATGTCGTTGCCTTGGCCCAGCACCAGCTACGTAAAATTGATGGCACGAAAGTCGGTGACTTTTGCTCCAGTACTTTCGTTTCGGCCCGTCGGAGGCTTGACTCTGAACTTTGCCTTTGTGCTCTACGACACCCACATGGAGCAGGACACTTTGCCCAGTCAAGAAGCAGCATGCAGCCGACTCTAGTGGCAGCTTCCTATTGAATTCATGATCTTACCCGAGTCAGCCGATTCTGACTAAGCCTTAGCTCATTTTGCTCTCGTTGGCTTGCTAGCCTGCAAATCTCCACGCTTGCTCGCTTTCGCATTTGCTTTCGTGCCTGCGTAGCAGGGTAATTGTCTACTTGTTTGGCTAACTGGCTAGCTACAAGCCAGTCGAACCAGTCGAGCCATTGCCAGGCGGTCACTCGGGAAGGCCTCGGGAGCCGCGCGCGGGCGCACCGTAAAACTCGCCAATGGGTATCCCTTGTTTTAGGAAACCCGAAAATTGTGGGGTTTCCTCTTGGTTTCCACTAGCAACCCAAAAGAGGGTACCATCAAATACAGATTCCAGACAAGAGCTAAAAGGAAGAACCACCATTTTGGGGGTCCCGTATGTATCAACTCCCGGTAGGTGCTTGAATGGCTGGTTCCACACCTCGCCTTGCCCCTTGAATTCTTGTCCACTTCTTCTTTCAAGACGCGCAAACTCCAAGTGTTGGCCGAATTCCCGGGGATGAAACGGCCATTGGAATTCTATCATTTTGAAGTTATATGATATGCATGAATTCCTAATCCAAAAGTAAAAGAAAAGCATGAAGAAGGCAAGGAGTAAGACCTGCCACGCGTCCCCGCCGGCTTTCTCTGCGACCAAAGCGGCGGCACGGCTACAGCACCTCACTTGCTGCTTGCTGAGCGTGCTGCTTGTGTGAGGCGTTGGCCAACGGTGGCATGCAAAAAAAAGGAAGACCACATATTTGAAGGTCAAGGGTGGGGAAAGAAAAAGGCAACAAGGCAACAAGGCAAGCAGATTGGGCCAGGCCATGCCAGAGTCAAAGATGAGCCACTGTGAAAGATGCGCCGTGTTGCTTCAAAAACAAATTGGAAGAGCGGGCGGTGGCCCAGGCCACCCGGAAGGCCGGATCGATCCCAGACTCTCCCAATGGGTCGGCATGTTCGATGTGGGTGTGTCTTGTTCGGGGACCCCCAAAAGTCGAAGGTGTTCCGCGAAGAAAAGGGGTGCCAACTCCTTTGAAACCACAAAAAAATGGTAGCAACTCCAAAACAAAAAGCAAAAAAAAACATGTGGAGTCGATCGGGAGTCCCACGGATTTGATCCATGGCCGTGTCAGGCTTCGTGTCCGCCATCGAGCACCACGGATTTCCCATCTCCAAAGCTGAGGCCGGCGGGGATCGGACCTTTTTGCTTTTGGCCGCTCGGTTCCCGGCCCGGTTCCTTCTGAGGCTTCAGAGTTTCCAGCTCTGAAGATAAGCTTTTGGCAGGGGATCTGAGGACAGCCCAGAGGAATTTGCAGAAAGGACAGTTGGGAAGAGATGCAAGCGCTGAATCGTTGTTAGGCTGATTTAAGCCGTGGCCGGGCTTTTTTCGGGGACCCCTCCAAAATGGATGTCGGTGGTTCGTTTGGTTTTCCAGTGTTTAACCCCCAAAAAAAACGGGTACCCCGCACAAAAAGGGAGAGACCCACAGGCATAAGTGTCCTTTTTAGGTGAGTTTGGTTAAAAATAGATGGATTCCGCTGGTTTAGATGGGTGTTTATGCCCCATTTACCAGGGAAACCCATCTATTCTTCTAAAAGGCCACCTATGCCCACAGCACCCCCCCAACAAAAAAGAACGGGTACCCCCCCCCAAAAAAATGGACAGACCCACAGGGGCTTGTGTCTTTGTGTTCTTGTGTTCGCTGTTTCGGGCGCAGGCCGAAGCCATCTTCGCCCGCCTGGCCCGGCAAAAGCCGAACCAGACGCTGAGCCTCTTCTTTGAGGACAGGAGCATCCTTTTTAGGTGAGTTTGGTCAGCAATCGATGGGTTCCACTGGTTTAGATTTGCTTTTGTCCAGAATTCCGAGGGCCATCTAGTCTAAACTCTGCTGGATGCATTCTATTTGGGAGACCACTTGAGACACAATCAAAACCCGTGTAAATGAAGGTTAGTAAGGGCAGTCCCAGCCAGAAATAGCTGCGGATATCCGCCTTCTTAATTCTTGAAGCATGGTTCTGGGGATCGACCATTTTAATACCGGGTTTTGATTGTGACTCAGGTGAGTGTGGTCAGAAATAGCTGGGTTCCACTGGATTGGAGTTTTGTTTTGTCCATTTTTTATCAGGGCTTCCAAGATGTCAACTATGGATGGGAGTTTCTTTTGAGCTTTGCCTGCAAGGGTTGGCCGCCAGCCACGTCCAGTCTACACTCTGCTGGATGCATTCTCTTGCAAAGGCGGCCGGCACCCTGCGGATGCGTTGCCTGTGGGTCAAAGCCAATGGGATCCCATTTTGGGATAGGTGCACCACTCATTTTAGAACCTATTTTAGTGGGGATTGGGATGTTCACTGGGGGTACGTGGTTTTGACCAATGGCCATTGTTGCCTGTGGGAAGCATGATTCACATGCTTGAGATGTTCATGTAATTGGCTCCCCTGGCAGCTTACATTAAAGAAAATGAAAAGACCGTTGCACGGCTTTTAGTGGGAGTTGGGCCTGATCGAGAACATGTCAATGTGCTGCCACTTACTTGGAGCAAGCCCATAGACTACAATAGAACATCTGCTTACTTGACATGTCCGGGATGCACGCTAATTTTTGCCACCGCGTGTTCTCACGATATCTCGCTTGATCAGACGCCTACAATCAGCGCGCAAGGACTTGCAAAACTGTATGGCCAGCTTGCCAAATCCCCTACCCCAGGCGCGCAGTTGAGTGATGGGTTAGTTGAGGGACCAATGGTGCTTGTGTTGCAGCCACCGTTACTCAGTTTTGAAGGGCGTTGTGTACGGAATGGCGAAAGAATGCTATTTGCATGTAACAGCAACTTGCCAGGTGAATTGTGTTGTGTTTTTTGTGTGTTTGCTTATTTGCTTGCTTGGATGCCTGCCTCCCTGTTCGTTTGTTTGTCTAGTTTGTTTCTTTGTTTGCTTGCTTGTTTGTTTGTTTGTTCGTTCGTTCGCTGGTTGGTCAGTCGGTCGGTCAGTTGGCTTACGTTTGGCTTGTTTGCTTGTTCGTTTGTTTGCGTCTGTGCAGGTTTGTTTGTGTGTGTGTGTATGTTTGCTTGCTTGCTTGCGTTCTTGCTTGCGTTCTTGCTTGCGTGCTTGCTTGCTTGCTTGCTTGCTTGCTTTCTTGCTTGCTTGCTTGCTTGCTTGCTTGCTTGCTTGCTTGCTTGCTTGCTTATTTGCTTATCTGCTTATCTGCTCGCTTACTTATTTGATTATTTGCTTGCTTGTTGGTTGGTTGGTTGGTTTGTGTGTTTGTTGGTTGGGTGCTTTGTCTTTGTCGTTGTCTTTGTTTTTCATTTGTTTGCCCACTTGTTTGTGTCTTTGTTTGTTTCTTCGTTTGTCTATTTGTTTGTTTGTTGGTTAGTTTGTCCTTCTTTTTATTGTTTGTTTGGTTGTCCGAGCCTTGGTTTGGCTTGGATTTGGCCACTGCATTTTCACCCCTGCTGCTTTCTCAGCGCAGGTGCAATGGGCCCAGACCTCAATCCAATGGATTTGTGCTGGCATGCGAACAATTGGATCCCCATAAGGCAGAAACATGGATGCGGGGTCTAAGAGAAATGATGAATTTGGGCGCTCGCAGCGGTGAGGATTGTTTTTCTTTGCTGCTTGTGTTCAGCTGAAACAAAGGGGCCTCAACTGTATATTTGTTGGTTGATTCTGCCCTGCAAATGAGTTGCTGCGGCCCGTGGCAACAAAAAGTTGGGGACAAAAGAGCGGAACTTGCAAGACTTGCAGCTGTTGAGATGGTGTTTCTTTTTGAGGGTGCTGGTCATGGTTTGAAGGGAAACCAAAAGGGCACCCATCCCAATTACAGGGTCCCCTAAAACAAACACGCGCGCGCATGTTGGGCACGTCAAAACTTCGAAGGTTTGCTGTGACTTCACGAACCGAGGGGAAGGACTTGATCAAGTCAGTCGACAAGATCACTCGAGCACAAGGACGGCAGCTTGAGTTGCTTGGTTGCCGAAAGAGTTGCCGAAAGCCACGCAGATCTCAGCTTTTGGTTCCCCCTTTTGGGGTTCCCATGTTTGGTCATGGCCCCTAAGAGGGAATGACTTTCAGTTTGTGGGTCTGTCAGGAGCAACGAGGAGTTGCTAAGTGGCTGGGTGTTTTTCCGACCCAAAGCCGTGCTGCTCGAATGTGTTTCCCACATCACAATTTCTTGTGGCCAAATCTGGGGAATGGACAGGATCCAGAACAAAGATGAGTAGGGTTGAGGTGTGGGGCAGTGTTTTGTGCGAAGATCGCAACTGCTCGGACTTTGTGGTTTCGGATTGTTGCCAAATGATATACTAAAAAATGACCCTCCCTGTGGTTGTAGGCAGTACGCAGACAATGTATGTTTGCCGGGATGCATAAGATGATAGCTATTTCCCAGACAACTATATATATATATATATGTAGAGATAGATATAATATGATGTCAACAGTTGGAGATGCAAGAGGACCGCTTCACAATATCATGCAACAACCGCGGCACGTTGACGCATTGCGCCCTCACAAGTTCTATCACTCAAGATGCTGTCAGTGTTGCAATCACTTTCGAGAAACGATCACTTTTAAGTGCAGGGTGTGCTTTTCCCTGGGTGAATTGTGGGGAATCAGACCACTTTTGGAGGGGAACACCCCCCTATGAAGAAACTGGGGTTGATTACGGGGAATCGCTACACGTGCGCGGAGCCATGCAGCAGGAACGCCGCTCGAGACTCTCTTCAGACAGCTTGGAGCGGAGTCAGCTCGGCGCTCAGCGCCGAAGCATGCCGCATGCGCCAGGAAGCACTTCGATTCTGAGCAAGTTGACGGTTTCTGGGGTTGTCAAGTCAGAAAATGGGGTGATTTCCCTTTCAGCCACCACGGGAGTGACTTTGATCATGGTAAAATAATGAGGCTTGTTTGAGCAAGTTGACATTCAAGTGATGATTGTTGTGATGGCAGGGCTCTAAGAGTTGAACCTTGACGTGCAGTCACTGTGCTGGGTGAGGCGCGAGCTCAGGGATTGCAGTACGCTTGGCTTATGGCATTCACCCTGAAAATTTGGAGCCTGCGAGGGGCCATGGGCTTCTTGAAGAGTTGATTGCCAGGCTTTGTGTGCAGTGTTGGCAGTGAATCGGCAGGTTGTCTCCCATTCATTGAGTCCCGTGAGCATCCGAAGTGTGGCGTTTGGGGAATGTGAAGCTGATGCCAGAATCTCAAGCAGGCGCCTATTCAAGCCAGAGACTCAAAAAAGCATCCTGCATGTTGGAAGGTCAAAGCATTGATTGCGCAGAGGTCTCCGAGTTGGATGTGCGGGCAATCCTGCCCGGCCCTCGAACGGACAGAAGGCGGCTGAGGTGACTAGAATCCGAAGGGTGCAGAAGGGGAAGCAGAGAGGTTGTCGACCAACTCAGCTCTAGTATTGCGTACGACAGGGGGTTGTCAAACAAAGCAAACACATGCCAACAGCCGAGTTGAGTCACTTGCAAGCCATTGCGGCGGTTGTGTGTGTGTGTGTATCTTTGAAAGATCACGCCGTGCATGTCATGGTTGTGACCGCATGTTTGTGTTGTGGCAAGGATCGCCTGATGAGGTCAAGATATTCGCCCCTGAGCTCAGCACAATGGGCCAATCTGCAGGAGGCTCAGTACGCATTTCTCGCTGGGATAGGACTTGCGTGTCTCCCTGAATATGGGCGAGCAATGGTCAAACTCAGCTTGCCATTGCGAAGAGAGGGAATGCATTCTTGTTCATCGCATTTGGAAAGGGCGGTTGCAAAATGTGTTGAACACCAAGAATTCATATCCTGAGTGGCGGATGCATTTTGTGGGAAGTTTGAAGGCAGACTATTTACATAGGTGTTTCGCGTTTGCCCTATCTGAGAGATCAATGTGGCCTCGTTTTGTTTCATTCCTTGTTCCCAACATGAAATTTGACTGTCGGCTGGCTTCCGGGTTGGAGCAGCAGACCGCCCGACAAGGGACTATCATTTGCAGCGCTATCGTCAGCTCAAAAAGCGAAGCCCTTTTGCAGACCCTTTGCTGAGCAACAAATGGGCGCCTTTTTCAAGCTTGGAGCCCCCCCCCAAAAAAAAGTGATTTGTGTTTCGCTGTCCCTTTAAAACTGCAAAACGGGGGGTACAAACTCCGAAAAAAATAGAGACAGCCCCAAATTGGCTTTACGTAGCCTCCCGCCGATGTTTAAGGCTGCCGCTTTTGGACAAGAAGTCAGATGGTGCTTTGTCGCAGCCTCGGGGGATGGACGGCCAGCGGGTTTATGCGGCGTGCTATGCGCGGTTTGACTCACTCTAGGCACTGCCCATTGAGTGGTGTGAAAATGGCTCATCCCTATCCCCAGAAAAGGGAGCACATGCACTGGGAAGTGTGTGTGTGTGTGCGCGTGTGTGTGTGTGTGTGTGTGTGTGTGTTTAAACGCAGGAGTGCCACTCTATGTTGATTTTGACCAGCCCACCATGTCAGTCTAAGTATACACTAACAGACACGAGCAAAGAATTGGTGAAAGAGGCATGCCAGGATGCAAATGAAGACGAACCTCCATCCCTGGTGATGTGGTCACCTGCAGCTCGTGTTATTCGTTCGCTGCATGGCTTTCTAAGGCCCTGGCAATCGATCCTCAAGTGGGCTGGCCTTGACTCCGGGCCAAGTGCTCAGGGGTTGGGAGTCAAACATCACTGCGCTCGGGGCTACAGAAATGACAGTTCGGGGCTACTGCGTGCTTGCAAGAATGGAGAGACTGTTGAGGGGCAGGGATGCCAGGGTGTATATTATGTGTGTGTGTGTGCGTTTGCGTTTGTAGTGCTGTGTTTGTGTATGTGTGTATGTATGTGTGTGTGTGTGTGTTTTGCTTGATTGCTTGCTTGCTTGCTTGCTGGCTTGTTTGGTTGGGTTGGATGGCTGGTTGGTTGGTTGAATGATTGATTGATTGATTGATTAATTGATTGATTGATTGATTGATTGATTGATTGATTGATTGATTGATTGATTGATTGATTGCTTTGTCTCCAATTGCTTTGCTTGCTTTGCTTGCTTTGCTTGCTTTGCTTGCTTTGCTTGCTTTGCTTGCTTTGCTTGCTTTGCTTGCTTTGCTTGCTAGCTAGCTAGCTAGCTCGTTTGTTTGTGCCTGGATTTGTTTGTTTGCGTGATTCCTCGTTGGTTTGTTGGTGTGCTTGTGTTTTTGTTTGGGTGTTTTTGTTTGTCTTTGTTTTGGTGCTGTTTTTTTTTCCGGTGGCTCCGATTGTCTTTTGTTCGCTCGGCCGGTCTAGTTGTTTCTCTATTTTCCTGCTCGTCTCTCTGCCTCTGTCTTGGGTCTTTGTGCCTGCCTCTGTCTCCGTTTCTTTTTGTCTGTCTGTGCCTTGTCTGTGCTTGTGTCGTTGTTTGTCAAGCGCATGGGAAGTAGAGCAAGGCATGTTTGTTCCCACCCAAAGCGGACAATGTCAAGCCAAGAACGATTTGTACTCGGGGGTAATTTCTTCGTAGCATGAGCTCATTCGCGCAGAAGCCGTCATGCCAGCCGCAACGTGTTGCCAAATCAGCGTTCAGAATTCAGAGCCCTCCCATGAGCTGCCACATTGGCATCCTAAATTGCGATGCAAATAAGGAATGAGTGCATCTCGCAATCTTCATGACCGTTTTTTTTTCGGTCAATCTGTTTGTCGGCATTTTGTTCAGTCAATCCTTCTGACAGGCGACCACGTTCTGTTGAGATTCCCGTGTCGCACCCAGGGTCACGGCGCCTGCGCTGCCCGCGCCCGCCACGCCTGCGCCCATGCCGGTGCCCGCGGTGCCTGCGGTACCTGTGCCCGCACCAGCGATGCCGGTGCCAGTGCCGGCTGCGCACCCAGTGCCAATGTCAAGGCGCAATTGAGCCACAACCAAAACCCGGATAAGTGAAGGTTAGTAAGGAACAATCCCGACCATAAATAGCTGCGGATATCCGCCTTCTTAATTCTTGAAGCATGGTTCTGGGTAGACCATTTTAATACGGGTCTTGATTATGACTCAATGGATCCATATCACACAGGTTTTGAGCGCGAGCAAATGTTGACCTGAAGTGTTTGCTTCCCCGGTCCCTCAACGCTCTTGTGATGTCACTTTAGTTTGAAGGCCGTTCAGAGCCGATCCATTCTAGCCTTGCTTGAAAGAGAAGCTCACTTCCCGAGTTCCAGGACTTTACTTTTTGGAAGGACCATGTTAGTAAATAAGAAGCGTGGACTTGTGCCGATCTACTCAGCAAGTGAGGAAACCAGTCTTCGTACCTCTTGTAGCGAGTTTGAAGAGATCAATGCTTTCAGTGGTGAAACCATTCTGGGCTAAAATCATGCCTGGCTGGGCAATTTGTGACACTTGCCATTGGGGGTGGTCCTCCCCTAGGCCAAGGCCAAGGCGAAATAAGCCCCACACACACACACACACCTAATGCTCCCTATGCTGAGATTTCTGCCTTCTTCACCTTATCAAACACTTGTCTGCAGGAAGACTTGTTTTGAGTCAATGCTGATTGGCTACAGTATTCAGCTATGTTTAGCTTTCCCCTGCAAACTATCCTTGGGGTACTGAGTCACAAGAGTCGAGGCAAAGCCTGCGATGTCGCCACCTCCGCCAACGCCTTCACCTCCAACAATCATCAGACCGTCCACTATGCCAGCCGTTCCCGCACAGCTCTCAGCTGAGCCACCGCGAGTGACCAAAGTGTTCCTGGGAATATCAAGCGAACGTCCAAGGAATAGCTCGGTGTCGGGGCTTGGTGTGCTGAGCATGGCTATTGCAAGTGGATTGCACCGCACTGCAGATACAGTGGGTGGCACACACACCGGTCGGAGTACTGGGGGCTGTTCCAGCAATCTGGTTCTGGATTTCCTACCATTCCGACAGACCTTGTTTCCACGGCATGGCTCTGAGTCAAGGTGAAACAAGGGGGTCATGAAAAAGGGAGGAGCCAGAGGGTGTACAGCCCCGCGTGCCTGTGATCGTTTCTTGCGTACCGCTTCAGCATGAAGGCTCTCACTTACAGGGCCTCTGAAAGACCAGAACGCTTGCAAGTCGGCGCTTTGCCTTAGGACTTGTGTTTTGTTAACTAGAGTTCAGGATGATCGTTTGGCACGCCACGTTTGGCACGCCACGTTTGGCACGCCACGTTTGGCCCGCTGTTTAACCCCGTGAAATCGTTCAGCCATTGCCCAGGCGCCTGCACTGCCGATGCCACCAGGCAAAAGTGTGATGCCCCCTGCTCCAGCCGACGTCTCAGATGCGAAGCTTGTGAGGGACGTGTAGCAGACTTCGACGGCAAATGCCGTCACCCAAACTTCATGTTCAAGTTAGTCCTTGTCATCGGCGGTGCTTGTCTTCCTGGCCCGTTTTCTGTTGCCATTCTGTGACCCCTGCTGGGTTGGTTGTTCATGTAGCAAGCACGTGAAGCAGATGAGGACAGCATTGAACAACCAACCCGTCAGAGCAAATCATGACTTATCACACTCTAACAAATTTACAGATTTTTTTCACGATTTGTGTTGTGTGAGCAACGGAGTCCAATGCGTTTTTCGATTCTGCACGTCGCGACTTGCTGAATCGGCGACCCACCAGTCCCGCCGTTTCAGGCCAGACCTGCATCATCACCCTCACCACCTGCACCTTCGCCTCCGGGCGCAATGAGATCCTTTTCGTCCTTCTCGTCTTCCTCTCCAGCTGGGGCCGGAGTCCTAATGTTCTTGAGGTACTGGTGGAAGCACCTTGTTGTTAGCGTATGTAAAGTGAGAAGTGTTGTGGCTGGCACACGCTTTCAACGGAGTGCTGCACTTGGAACACTGCGCGAAAAGCCTTCGTCGCTAGGTTTGTCTTCTTGGAAGGTGGTCAAAAGCCAGACGTTCCTTTACGATCCTTTGCGAGGAAATGTCAACTCACAACAATCATACTGTAGCCACCGTTGATCTGAATCACAGCAGAACTATGGCCGATTTGGACAGTATTTGAACTCTGTGGTTTGCCAATAGCTGTATTGGTACTGCTAACCACGCTGCCACGATTCCGACATTGTCAAACAAACCAAGTTTATTGATTTGCTGGATCGTCCATGTTGTTTTGCATGGTCCTTTGACTCTTTGTCAACAACTCACTTCGTCATTGGTTCTACTGAGAGTAGAGTGATTTGTTTTTCTATCACTGGTGACAGAGGGAAGACAAGTTGATTTCATAGGCTCCAGGTGACCGGGATGCCGCTTCCTTCGCATGGCCGAAGGGGAGGCTTGAACTGTTCGCAGACATAGACTCAAATCTAGCAGGGTGCTGGCGTCAGGTGCGGCCCCTTTCTGTGTCTGTGCCAAGACCACTGACGCCTGCAGTGACCCGAGCCAGCCAAGCCGTGGATTTGTTTCTGCTATTTGTTGAATGTTTGAAAATCAGATACTCCTCAGTTGGTGGCTGGGATTGGTTGAACCCCTGGTTCTTGTAGACTAGGTGAATGGGAGACTGTCCTCAACCACCAAATTTCCAACCCAAACCAATTAGAGACAACCTGAGTAAAGGGCGTTCCGACAATTTGCAAACAGCCAGCCAGTGAACATGTGCACTGAAGGACCGAGAAGATTCCTGTCGGCCAAAGGCCAAAGTCATTCCAATGCCCAAGTCGCTCAAGAGTTGCTAAGTTTTACTAGGGAGTTGCCGGGATGTTTCGTTTGAAGATGCCGCATGTGTTGTTTGAGGACGAGGGAGTCCATTATTTGGGTTTGTTTGAGAGACACTGTCCACAAGCATCCAGTGCATAGAGAAGGCAGAGAGGGCTATGATCCTGCTTGGCAAAACCAAACACCACTTGCATTGCATGCGAAGTGCTGGCAGATTTTGGCATTCCTTCTCACTTCTGCTTGCACAGAACAGAAAGCACCTGGAATCAAGTGAGCTCACTTGCACACAGGGGAGCGGTTTCTTGGCCTCGGACATGCTGAGGTATCAACCATTCCACCCCCTTTGCCACCGCGGGAGCCTCACACGAGCTGGCCACATCCGAAATCAGCAAGTGAGTTGCTGAAGTACCAGTCAAGCGCAATGTTGGGGACGACGTCCTTGAAAGCTTGAAGCTGACACTCTTGGAGGAATGTGACCGCAACGTCCACCGAAGTCGACAGGTAAATACTGCTACCAACACGAGACAAGCGAGTTTCTACATGCACGAGTTTATTTTTGCCCTGAGGTCAAGTTCGGCACTGGGAAGATTCGGCCTCAGTCAACATGGGCCGGAACTGTTGTGTTGAGGCTGTCCAGGGAATCCATCACTTTTTGCTCTGCAAATTCATGTCACAGTCATCACATGTGATTCCGAGAACTGAATACCCTTCAGTTTGGGTTTATGTCGTTCCGCCTTGCAATTCGCATTGATTCCCTTCATATCTCAGTCAGCATTCAGAACTTGCCTCGCACCTTGGGAGCCAACAGTGCAAGGAGGTCAGTTGATTGAGAAAGCCTGCTGCTGCATGTGTGTGTGTGTGAACTTTGGCTTCGAAGTTTGCCGTTGATCCGGAGAAGTGCTGCTGATCTCTCATGTTCATGGAAAGGCCAACCATCACAAAGCAGCAACAGTTCACTTTCATAGCCATAGCAAAAGAAGTCATACCCTCAATTGGTTCAGGCCTTGGCCAGAAAGCGATGTGATCACTGTCACCCAAAAACGTACGGGGGGGGAAGATTCAATGGTGACTGGCAGCTTTGCATCAACGTTTAGGCTCAACGAAGATTGCTCCTTTGTTGCCAAAGGGAGTTTAGGAGCTGGGCGAAGTGCGCATGAAGAATTAACACGATCTTGGTTGCGGATGAAGCAGTTCAGGTGAAACCCTTGTGGGTTCAACTGGGCCAACGGTCTGTTACTGAGGTCACCAAGTGTCGCCCCCACCTCCTGCACCGCCGGTGCGGCTTGCAAATTGATCTGACTGCCCCGAACGCAGGATATGGCTTGTGATACTGTGCCTTTGAAACAGGAGAGAACGGGGTTGGTTGACTTGGCTGAAGGCCGGGTCCGGACAGCAGCCTAAATGTGATCAATGCTTTCGTGAGCTGCTGGTAATGCTGGCACATGTTGGCACAATTGACCTGGGATCAGCATGTGGATCATGTGCCGCAGCAGACTCGCGGGCCCTGGAGAAAGGGCAAGGCGACTTTTTGGTCCCGCACAGATCCGCCGCGTTTTCTCCATCGCTTTGGGTCGGTCCCGCCAGGGTGGCCCATTGCCCATGCCTCAGCTGAGTTGTTCGCCAGCCAGAAGCGGGAGCGAGAAGGGCTAGATCAAGTAATCTCTGAAACCGGAAAAAAGCACGGGTGGAGTGTGCATTGTTGCCATGGATGAGACAAGCACTTCAAATGCCGCCTGGAAGTGCCTGCTTGTTCCTGCACTTGTGTCTTCAGCATCACCAGAAATGACGGGAGCTGAGAAACACACTCGAGGGCTGTTGGGTGGCACATCAAGTTCTAAGTGACGTGTTTGCGGTGGCCTGCATTGCCCACATTGCTGATCGCAGCGTGCGCATGTGTGCAGTGTGTATGTATCGGAAGAATCCTCCCTTCAAGGTCCGATGAATCAATGCATCCGTTGCCAAATGCAAAAGCTTGGACCCCCGCAAATATCCACCCCTCCACCCCCCCACCCCGCAATTTTGTAGAGCGCTGCGGGGGCGGGGGGGGGAGGGAGGGAAAATGTTGTCCCCTGAGTGGGGGCTGGTAGTGCAATGACCTATGCTGTTGCAACCCTTTTACTTGCTGGCGTGATAGGTAGGGAATGAGAAATGGAATGAATATGGGGGAACCCTTAAAGGAAACCATAGGGGTCATTTACAGGAAACCATAGGGAAACCATAGGAAACCTTAAAGGAAACCATAAGAAAACCTTACTGAACATGGATGGTTTATAGGGGTCATGTTGTTTCTCATTCCCTGCCTATCGCACCACATCTGCGGCAGCCAGGCCCCCGCCGCCTTCAGCAGGGAGCTGAGTCGGAGATGTGCTTAGAAGCGCGGCGCTGTTTCGCGGCTTCTCTCAACTGAAAGGCAAGGATTGGGTGGCCCGTTTTGCCGAGCAAACAGGGAACAGATGCAGATGATTGGATTCATCCTTTCACAGCCGTTCACTATTGCAGGCGTTTAAGAGCTCATTTGAGCAAGCAGCTCTAGTTCTAAGTTGGGGCGGCACGTTGATTATGAGATTCCGGTTGCATGTTACAGAAATTTCGCGATGCTGAGCTGCCCGGTGTTGCACCATCCAATGTGTCCAAAGCAAGTTGGAGCTATGTGAAGGTGTCCACGTTAGGCAATGAGCACATGAATCAAGAATCTGTGTTGCATTCATGCTCTGTTTTGGCCCACCTTTCCACCGGAGTCATTGTGGGGGTCGATTCAAAGTGCCTGATTTCCTGCACCAGGACCATACATGTTGAAATGAAGAGTTTCGTGCTGATTGATTTTCAAGCATCTCACCAACCTCCTACTCCAAGCGGCTGACATGTGGATCCCCCACCAAACATCCTCATTGAGATGGCAAGTCTCTTGATTGTACTGTTGGACTTTGGTGGGTGCGTGGGCCTGTTTGTTGGCCTGTTTCTGTTGGGACCCCGAACTATTTATAACTCATCCCCGAACTATTTATAACCCATGCTCGAACTATTTATAACCCATGCTCGAACTATTCATAGTCAGACGTGTGCATTGTATGGGTTTGTTGAGATTTCTTGAGTAATGTGCTTGCTTGTTGCGGGCCTCCTCACCCGTAGTTTATACCATGACAGCGTGGCAAGTCAAAGGGACGGCTGGAATATCTTTGTTTCATGAAGTTTCGAAGGTTCATGTTCATCGAATCGTATCTTCCCTGAAACTCAAATGCACTCATGAAACGTCTGAAGCGTACAGTTTTGATGTTGAAACGTCAGCAAGCCGAGCGGAAGGCCAAGGCGTGTTTCTGCTTTGCGGTGCCGAAGCACGGAGATAGACAAGCTTCCCCTACTCCGCGTGCGGTAACAACACCTGACATCTGACCATCTGGCAGGACATTTGCACCTAAGACTTGCAGCTCTAGACTTGGCAGCCTCAGGCTGAAAGGCTTTGCTCCTCCTCTTCTTGGTCTTCCTGCTGCTGGCCACCGCCAGCTTAGAAGCGGAAAGGCTGAGCCAACCCCCCCAAAAAGGCTTGGTGAACACTGGCCCCTTGCGAGGACTACGCTCACAAATAGCCAGCAGCAGATGCGCAAGCAGAAGTAACAGTAACCAACCACCAACAACACGGTAGTGTTGGCTCTGCCCAACCCTGCGAAATTGCAATTTTGCTCTGCTATCATCAATGGCTCGTCTCTAGTCAACTAGTCAGGTCAGGTAGTCAACTGAGCACACCAACCAATCAAGCCAAATCAAATCAAGTAGTGAGTCAGCAGCCCCAGCCAATCAGACCAAATCAAATACATTGTTTTTTTTTATTAAACGATGAGCAAACCAATCACAACAATTCCTATCCAACCGAACCCAACCTACCAACCAGGCAACAGACCAATCAACCAACCCATCAATTGATCTTTCAACCAATCAAGCAACCAGGCAACCAACCAACCAAGCAAACAAGCAAGCAAGCGAGCGATCAATCAGCTAACCAACCAAGCAAGAAACCAACCAACCAATCAATGAACCAACCGCTCAAGAAATCAATCAATCATCAATCAATTCTCCACTCAACAAGCAAACAAATACATGCACTCCAAGACTGCATCATATCAATACCTATCAATCCACCAACCCAAGCCCATCAATCAACGAGTCCATGAGTCTGGCTTTCCGCGAAGTGCAAAAAAAGCTGTTTGACCCGTAGTCAAAATGAATATTGTGGTTTGACGATGATACGATCTGGTTCTGATCGTTAGTTGAAGCAGTGTCAGCAGGGCGAGTGGTTGCGATAGGATTGAAAGGCATGATGCAGCAATACAATTGCCCACTGTCATCAGGTTTCCGAGTTATCAGTTGTGTGACACCCAGGTGTACTTCGTGCTGTGTGATTCCAATATATTTCGCCTACTACACAAAGTAAACTTCAAATCACGTTCTGTACGCGTCATTTCGTATGTCATTGCAGGCCGTCGTAGCATATGCTGGCACTTAACAATGTGGGATATCAACGGCATGTGTATGTATACTGTTACTTTATTAAAAACATATATGGTTGAACTTCGTGCAATTTTTCGCAATGGCGAAACTTGACACATGACATGACACAGTCATCACAGTAGCTAAGCTATGGTATGTGTTCAGTTTATTGACAGTTCAGAACGGTTCCGAACGGTTCTGAACTATCTATATTTTTCATTTAGCAATAGTTCAGAACGGTTCCGAACGGTTCTGAACTATCGTTAGTTTCAATTTATAGATAGTTCAGAACGGTTCCGGACGGTTGCGAACTATTTATGCAGCCCGAACTATCCGAACTATTCCGAACTATTCTGGAACTATTTGGCTCGGCTGGGCCTGGCCTGCATAAATCGTTCAGAACGGTTCGGAACGGTTGCGAACTAACTGTAAACCAGTTTTACAAATGGTTCAGAACGGTTCCGAACGGTTGCGAACTATTTACAAATGAAACTTTATGATGGTTCAAAACGGTCCCGGACGGTTTCGATCTATGACTATATCACAGTTCTACACAGGCACAAGCTAGTTGTACGCTAAAACTGTTAGATAACGGCTGTGAGTTGTTTTGAATTGCTTCTGAGGATATGCGTGTTTTGAAATGTGTGCTGCAGAGCGTACTGTGCTTACTATCTAAATACTAGGCAGGGAGATGCTCAACAAGGTGAGCTTGGGTGAGCTAGAATCACACACCATCGGCGGCTCATGGTCACAGACCAAAATTGAAAGCTTCAATCTCAGTCTGCCCTGGCCTGGCAGCGGAACGCCCAGGCCCAAACGCCAACGAAGCTGAGAACTGCCCCAGCCCAAGCGCCTCCCTACGTGCGCCCGCCCCCCTTGCCACCCCGCCGAGCAGACCCAACCAGGCGGCAGTTTACAAATAGTTCGGGCCAATTTATAAATAGTTCGGGGGCAAAAATCTGGGAAAAGCCTGTTTAAGACAGAGGACAGCAAGGCTGCAGGATTTTACAAGGGGGGTGTGGTCGCGCGGCGGGTGGGAACAGCTTCCACACTGGCCCCTGCGAGAGAAAGGGGCAGAAAGCAAGGAGCAAGAGAGGGAGAGAGAAAGGGACAGATGCAGAGAGGGGGAGAGAGAGGGAGGGAGAGAAAGAGAGAGGAGAGTCAGAAACTTTTCAGTCCGCGTAAAAGCGCACGCAGCAAAATCGTTGACGTGTGTCCAGAGGCCATCCTTGGTGTAACCTGACGCCTGCCTCATGGAGGCCCTTCTTCCCAAAGTTGGCGGGGGAGTTTCGCGTGATGGTGGGGATGATGAGGATGAGGTGCACTTGGCACGCGCCGTCAAGACAAGTTTGCTTTTTTGCAACAGGCTCCCAAAACCTGCGGCGCTCGGATGGGTGTGACAGAGGAAACGGAAAGCCGTCAAACAGATAGTGCGCTGATGTTGACTGTAAACAATTGAAGCTCGTAGTGTTTGTTTAACAGCTCGGTCCAACTCCAACCCTAAAACTCATCTTGGCCTTGCACGCGCAACGCAACGCTCATGAGTAGTGAGCAGTGCTGTGGGGTCGGCGGCATTACTTTGTCGCCGCACAAATCAACTCATCACTACGCAGTTGCACCATCACTGAAAAAGTAAAGGATAAAATAATAAAGAGTCTAGGGAAAACTGGAAACCAGCTTGACCGCAAGCCCCAAACCGATAAAGGTACAAGAAGGACATGTTAGCCACGCGCAAAACCCCTTGCTTGTGCCAAAGCAAAAATAGTAATATGCCAAAAGTTGTCAAAGCAAAGCGCAAGTCATGGTGCCAGAATCAGTACCACTGACACATCTTCAACACCAGCGCCAGCCAGCAAGCAGGTCGCCATCATCGCATCACATCACCGCCATCAACCATAAAAGCCCTTCGTCTACACTCAAACCAGGCTACACAACAGGAACACAGGAGGTCGCGTTCGGGGCTTTGGAAGTTCACATGAATCACCACTGTCACCCCCAACCCGATTCTCATCATTCATCAAACCACCATGACACATGACCCATCATGAGTCTGACTCCACCAAGAAAAGGGCCCGGTCCATGCCACCCCCAAAAAATGAATGCCAAACAAAACAATCATTGATCATCCGTCGGAACCGGACGCATCATCACCTCCATTCATCACTATCTTCACTGTCATCACGTCATCACGGCCATCATGGCCCTGCCAAGAGAAAGAGTCAAAATCAACGCCCCCCTCGCGGATGCCAAAGAGAACCATCATCATAGATCGCCCGGACCCATCATCATCACTGTCACCGTTGCGTCAGTCCAAAATAACCCTCCCCCCGACTCACCCCCCTCCCCACACACAACTGCTGCCACAGAAAAGCCGTTATGAATCATTCATGGGAACCGGACCCATCGATATCATCATGTTCATCATCATCATCGTCTTCACACCATCATCGCATCATCGTGACAGCATGGTTCCTCACCATTGCAACCGAATCTTCATCCGCATCATCGTCGCACCCTCACTTTCTTTCAGCGTCATCGTCTCCATCATCGTCATCATCGCCGCCAACATCATCGTCAGCATCGCGCGTGTGACCATTCAAACCACTGTCTATGAGGGATTCCCGACCAACTGCCATGAATCATCCACCAGTTATCAGTCAGTCTGTCTATCATGCCCGTCAGCACCCTTTTGCAAGCCGAGTCTCAGTCTAACCCTCACAGTTTTGCCAGAGTGCAAGTTTACATTTTGCTGCGCGCCGAACGCTTACCCGCCTTCGGACTTTAACCCGCTTTCGAACAACCCTCCTCCCTGCCATGGCAGTCAGGAGTCAGACAGGCTACATGACAACTCAACAAGAACACAACCCTGGACCCTGAGTTACTGGCCACGACAAGCTGCTGGTGAGAGCCTAAAACGAAAAAACGAAGCGTGTTTGCGCAAGACAAGTGCGGACAATGTGGCCCAGTGCTGCAAGAGCTGGAACAACACTGTTGTTTGCTAAGTGTTTTCGCGTGTCTTGTCTTGTTGCAGCCAACGCCAAATGAAAATAATCTGGAAGCGTGAAATAGTCATTTGCTTGTCTCTGTCTGCCTGTCTGAGCCCACTGGCAAAGGTTATGACAAAAGCAAGCTGCCACAAACGGACACCAGATGTTGCACTTTCATGCCCCCACCAATGCATCCGCTGAAGTTGGGCACTTGCTGAGCTTGACTCAAGGTACCTATGTGCCAGCAATTCATCATCAAACGCCAGCATGTGCAATGCAACCTAGGCGCAGGCTTGCAGGGTTTTTGTTGGGAGAAAGACGCCACCAGCTTCTACGTTTGTGTTTCTTGGCGTAGATAACTCCTGGGCAATTATAAATAGTTTCTGGGCGATATAAAATACTCTCTGGGCAGTTATAAATAGTCCCTGGGCAGTTAAAAATAGTTCCTGGACACATGGGCTTGTCTACAGACAAACAGGCCCATGCACCTGCCAAGTTGGACTCCACAAAACTAGGTGTTTTTGCACACCCACTGAAGCAAAGTCTTGTTGCACCTGCCCAGGCGTGGACTCGCAGACGGGGCGCCCGAAGCGCCCTGTGATTGTTTGCTATGTTGGTGTGAGCCAGTGAATATTGAGAATTCCTCATGATTTGGGGTGGTGTGTGTGTGTGTTTATGTTCTTCTTTTTCTAAAGTGAATGGCGTTGTGTTGCGCTTTCTTGTGTGAGTTCTGCTTTTCCAGGCAATTCATTCATTGAGTAGGATTACATGGGATCACAAGGTCAGCGTTGCCTTTGGGTGCTGTCATGGCTCTTTTGTACCCTCATAGTCACCCATTTTCCGCGATGGCTCCCCCTTATCATGGCTCTGAATCACTCCGTGACTGAGTGCTGGTTAGGTGCTGCGTGTGACTTGATTGGTTTGGCATGTCCTGAATCACGTTAAGTTGTGGAGTCGACTTAATTCATCACGTCGGAAGAACGAATTGAACCATGAAGAGTCCCAGTTCAGGGGATATGATTTTGACTGTTTCCGGCGGTTATCAAAGTCAGAAAACGGGGTTGTTTCCCTTTAACCCACCACTTAGGGGGTGTCTTTCATCATGGTAGAATAGTGAGGCCAGCAGTTGAACATGTCTTTGCTCAAAGGCCAGGGCACCTTGCTTTCGCGGGGGAGCATGACAAATTGAAGCCATGTCAAAGGAACGCTCGTCCAGGTTATATATTGGACACTCTGCTACAGAACACACACCAAATTTGGTTTGTGTTTCAGATCACACCAGTTGAAAACAAGTGTCGGACTTCGGCATGGTGCAGGAGTTCGGCTTTTTGTCCACACTGAGTTTATGCGTTGGGCAAACTCCACAGATTTTGCGTGTTTAACGTTGGGTGCGTGAGCCGATGGTTGAGGCAGGCCTGTACCTCCTGTGAATCTTGGTACGCTAGACTGATTCACGGTTCTTACTTTTCTTAGGATTCAATGTTATGCCAAGAATAATCCCATCCTTTCCAGATTCTTTTCATTCCCGGAATTACCAGTCATCTATTGGATCAGGAATAACTTTCCTATCTTTTTCTTTTCTCATTATATGTTTCTTTTATTTTCTATCTCTTACCTTGCAAGGGTTTACCCGCCGCTGCGAAGAAATCGACACTGAGGCACTGTCCAGGAAGGTATGAGACAGAGGATTCTCCTTCCATGGAACCTCCTCTATAACCTGGCGTATCTATTATTTTCCTTTCTTGCCGGGTATTAGTGAGTGAAAGGAACGTGTCTGAGATGGAAGGGGATTGGGCGGGGACAAGGAACGA